TTCCAATGCATGGCTCAAAATTTCAAAATACAGGCTGGTTAGTTACTCCCTACCTGAAAGCCTTCATAGGTGCCCCTTGGCTCTTCTGCCAGTATCAAAACTTTTGAAGGCCTTAAAGGCCCTGCTTGCCTGGCCCATCTGTCTCTCCAGCCTCACCTTGAACTGTGTTCCTGTCACTGCACGCCAGTCACACAGGCCTCTAGGTCCTCCAGTAGGCCACACTTCTTTCTAGCACAGGGACTTGCACGCTTGGAGTGCCCTTCCTCCCCTACTCACCTGTTCACCCTTACTCTTCCTTTACACCTCCTCCTCAGGGAAGCACCCACCCTCTGTACGTGTTTCACAGCCCTGATTGCAGCTGTGTTCACTCACCAGGTACCTGCAGAAGGCCTATAGGGTGCCAGGCACTTCTTCAATGTGTTCTTTCTTTATGTGATGATTTGATTAATCTCTGCCTCCCCCACTAGACTGTAAGCTCCCTGAAGGCAAGAATCCTGTGCTCAATATTAGCTCTCCCTTGGTACAGAGTAGGCATTCAATAAATGCTCCCCAAAGGCTGAGTGGCTGACTGAATTAAAGTACCAGTGACATGCAGTAACTGCTAAGATAGATGAGCCACCTGTGTGCTCTGACAGTTATAGACTGAATAAGTTGGAGACTTCCCTAAACGGCGGCATTTCCACAAGGTAACAACACAGAGCTCAGACGTGGGAAGGTGCCAGGGGCAGGGGTGCAGAGGGGCTGGGGCTGAGGGCGGGTGAAGAGGCTGGGGATAGGATAACAGGAGAGAGTATACAGGCATGCCTCAATTTATTGCACTTTACAGGGAGCAGAATTTTTAAAGAAATTGAAGGTTTGGGGACATATAGGTGACAGCAATAGGTTAAGAAAAGTGAAGCAAAGAAATTGAAGATTTATGTCAACACTGCTTTAAGCAAATCTATAGGCACCATTTTTCCAACAGCATGTGCTCGCTTTGGGTCTCTGCATCGCATTTTGGTAATTCTTGCAATATTTCAAGCATTTTCATTATTATTATATGTGATCTGTGATCAGTGATCTTTGATATATTATTGTAATTGTTTTGGGGTGCCATGAACCGCACCCATATAACATGGCAAACTTCATCAACAAACGTTGTGTGTGTTCTGACTGCTCCATCGACCAGCCGTTCCCCCAAGTCTCTCCCTCTCTTAGGGCCTCCCTATTCCCTGAGACACAACAATACTGAAATGAGGCCAGTTAATAACCCTACAGGGGCCTCTAAGTGTTGAAGTGAAAGGAATAGTCACACATCTCTCACTTAAAATCAGAAGCTAGAAATGATATAGCTTAGTGGGGAAGGCATGCTGAAAGCCAAGACAGGCTGAAAGCTAGGCCTTTTGGACTAAACAGCCAAGTTGTGGATGCAAAGAAAAAGTTCTTGAAGGAAATTAAAAGTGTTACTCCAGTGAACACACGAGTAACAAGAAAGTGAAACAGCCGGCCGAGCGTGGAGGGTCACGCCTCCCAGCACTTTGGGAGGCCAAGGCAGGTGGATCATGAGGTCAGGAGTTTGAGACCAGCCTGACCAACATGGTGAAACCGTGTCTCGACAAAAAATACAAAAACTTAGCCAGGTGTGGTGGTGCGCACCTGTAATTTCAGCTACTCAGGAGGCTGAGGCAGGAGAACAATTTGAACCCAGGAGGCGGAGCTTGCTATGAGCTGAGATCATGCCATTGTACTCCAGCCTGGGTGACAGAGCAAGACTCTGTTTAAAAAGAAAAAAAAAAAAAGGTGAAACAGCCTTGTTGCTGATATGAAGAAACTTTAGTGGTCTGGATAGATCAAATCAGCCAAAATATTTCCTTAAAAGCCAAAGCCTAACCTACAGCAAGACCCTAACTCTCTTCAGTTTTATGAAGGCTGAGAGAGGTGATGAAGCTACAGAAAAGTTAGAAGCCAGCAGAGGTTCGTTCGTGAAGTTTAATGAAAGACGTTTAAGAAGCCATCTCCATAACATAAAAGTGCAAGGTGAAACAGCTCATGCTGATGTAAAAGCTGCAGTAAGTTATCCAGAAGATCTAGCTAAGACAATTGATGAAGGTGGCTCCTCTAAACAACAGATTCTCAATGTAGACAAAACAGCCTATATTAGAGGAAGATGCCATCTAGGACTTTCACAGCTAGAGAGAAGTCAATGTCTGGCTTCAGAGCTTCAAAGCACAGGTGTTAGGGGCTAATACAGCTGGTAACTTTAACTTGAAGCCAATGCTCATTTACCATTCCAAAAATGCTCAGGCCCTTAAGAATTATGCTGAGTCTCTAATGTGGCGTGGTGGCACATGCCTGTAGTCATAGCTACTTGGGAGGCTGAGGTGGAAGGTTCGCTTAAGCTCAGGAGTAGAAGGCTGTAGTGAGCTATGATCATGCCATTGGACTCCAGCCTTGGTGACAGAGCAAGATCCTGTCTCTAAAAAGAAAAAAAAAAAAAAAGCCGGGTGTGGTGGCTCACGCCTATAATCCCAGCACTTTGGGAGGCTGACTGAGGAGGATCACTTGAGGTCAGGAGTTCGAGATCAGCCTGGCCAACATGGTGAAACTTCATCTCCACTAAAAATACAAAAAAAATTTAGCTAGGTGTGGTGGCACACACCTGTAGTCCCAGCTACTGGAGAGGCTGAGGCAGGAGAACAGCTTGAATCTGGGAGGCGGAGGTTACAGTGAGCCAAGATCGTGCCACTGCACTCCAGCCTGGGTGACAGAGCGTGAATCCATCTCAAAATAAATAAATAAATAGAAAAGAATGCTAATTTTACCCTGCCTGTGTCCCTATGCTCTGGAAATGGAACAAAGTCTGGACAATAGCACATCTGTTTACAGCATGGTTTACTGAATATTTTAAGCCCACTATTGAGATCTACTGCTCAGAAAAAAAGTATCCCTTTCAAAATATTACTGCCCCTTGACAATGCACCTGGAGATATACAAGGAGATTAATGTTGTCTGCATGGTTGCTAATACAGTATCCATTCTGCAGTCTATGGATTGAGGAGCAATTTCGACTTTCAAGTCTGATTATTTAAGAAACAAGTTTTTGTAAAGCATGAGTTGCCATACATAGTGATTCCTCTGATGGATCTGGGCAAATTCAATTGAAAACCTTCTGGATAGGATTCACCATTTTAAATGCCATTAAGAACATTTGTGATTCATGATGGGAGGAGGTCAAAATATCCATGCTAACAGGAATTTGGAAGAAGTTGACTCCAACCCTCATGGATGACTTGGAGGGGTTCAAGACTTCAGTGGAGGAAGTAACTGCAGATGTGATAGAAACAGCAAGAGAACTAGAATTAGAAGTGGAGCCTGAAGATGAAGCTGAATTGCTGCAATTCATGATAAAAGTTGAATGGATGAGGAGTCGTTTATGAATGAGCAAAGAAAGCAGTTTTATGAGATGGAATCTACTCTTGGTGAAGACGCTGTGAGCATTGTTGAAACGACAAGAAACGATTTAGAATATTCCATAAACTTGGTTGATAAAGCAGTGGCAGGATTTGAAAGAACTGACTCCAATTTTGAAAAAAGGTTCTACAGTGGGTTACATGCTGTCAAACAGCATTGCGTGCTATTGAGAAATCTTTTGTGAAAGGAAGTCAATTGATGTGGCAAACTTCACTGTTGTCTTATTTTAAGAAATTGCTACTGGCACCCCAACCTTCAGCAACCACCACCCTGATCAGTCAGCAGCCATCAACATCAAAACAAGGCGCTGCACCAGTGAAAAGATTATGACTCACTAAAGGCTCAGATGATATTAACATTTTTAGCAATAAAGTATTTTTTAAATTAAGGTATGTGCATTGGGCTGGGCGCTGTGGTTCATGCTTGTAATCCCAGCACTTTGGGAGGCCGAGGTGGGAGGATCACTTGATGTCAGGAGTTCAAGACCAGCCTGGCCAATATGGTGAACCTTCGTCTCTACTAAAAATAAAAAAATTAGCCCGACATAGTGGCGCACGCCTGTAATCCCAGCTACTAAGGAGGCTGAGGCAGGCGAATCGCTTAAACCTGGGAAGCAGAGGTTGCAGTAAGCTGAGATCACGCCACTGCACTGCACTCCAGCCTGGGCAACAGAGTGAGACTCCGTCTCAAAAAAAAAAAAAAGTATATGCATTTCTAGACATAATGCTATTGCACACTTAGCTACAGTATAGTGTAAACGTAATTTTATACGCACTGAGAAAAACAAAAGCGGTGTGACTCACTTTATTGCCATATTAGCTTTATTGCTGTGGTCTGGAACCCAACCCTTAGTATTTTGGAGGTATGCCTTTACTCAAATGGGGCCCACCAGAGCAGAACCATCAGGGTCTAGAGTAGGAGTCAGGTGATGACTTTGAATCCCAGGTTTGTAAGGAGTGTGACTCACCTTATTAACTCGTTAGCGGATTAACTGAGTCCCCAGAGTCCTCCAGGAGGCTAAACAGTTGGGGGTCGAGAATAGAAACCTAGCACCGCACCAACTGGATGGGTTTTTCTAGACCCCTTCCACCAGGTGCTCTCTCCTTACCGGACAGGTGGGTGGACTCTGGAGAGTGGACCTGCCCCCACCTGGATTCTCCTTGATGTCCTCCGACTGCCCACTACCCCGCCCCCGCCGAGTCCGCCCCGCTCCCCCGGGCTCAATTCCAGGATGCTTTGGATTGCCCGCCCTCGCCCTATACTTGTCCCCGCTGCCGTCCTAAGATCCACTCGTTTCCCTCGCCATGGCTCCGCTCAGGTCCTGGGTCACCCTAGCCCTTCTCCCTTAGCACGGGTTCGGCCAGCCCTGGCCCTCCGGGGCCCATCAGCTCCTGCCATCTTCGGCCGCCCTAGCCCCGCCTGCTCCGCCGGGCCCTGCCCGCCCCTCCGGCTCTCGCTCCGCCACCCGCCCTCCCGGACTCTCCCCTCGCCTTGCTCTGCCCTGCGGCGCCCCCTGTCGGCCCCGCGTGCTCTCTGCGGTTGCCCCTTTCCCTCGGGCCCTCCGGCCTCGTGCGGTTGTCTTGGAGAGGGACGCGTAGGCGACGCCACCCCGGACCGGTCGGATCCGGTCCCTGGACGCGGAACAGAGATCCCCTGATTCAGCCACCCCCAGAGTGAGCCCCATAGAGTGCGGTCCTACCTTCCTGCCCCGACGAAGGTCCCAGAGACGCTGCAGACAACACCAGCATGTCGAGCGAGCAGAGCGCGCCGGGGGCCTCACCCAGGGCCCCGCGTCCGGGGACCCAGAAGTCTTCCGGCGCGGTGACCAAAAAGGGAGAACGCGCGGCCAAAGAGAAGCCGGCGACTGTTCTGCCTCCCGTGGGAGAGGAGGAGCCCAAAAGCCCTGGTACGCTGGCGCCGGGGTTGGGTGATGGGGCCTCCAGGCTACGTCTTCCCGGGTTCCCACTAACTACTCACTGCTCGATGGCTATGGCTGAACTCATACATACCCAGGTTGAGTTCCTGCATCTCGGCTTGATAGATGTTTGAATTGAACTTGATCTTAAAGAACCCACACTCTGGTTTGGGACGGTGACAAATACCAGTAAGATGGGATAAGATATAGAAGAGAGGAAGGCCCGGGGGTGAGGGCACCAGGGGGGTTGCCAGGAGGTGTCTTTGAACAGAGTTTACAGATGTTCATTCATTGATTCAACAATTACTTTCCAAATGCCAGCCATGAGGCCAGGTATGTCAGGGAGGAGAATGAGATGGACATGGTCCTGCCCCCATGGGGTTTACATCCTCTGGGAAAGGAAAACGAGTAGAATGGTATAAGTAGATGTACGGCCCTTTTTGATGTAAGTGATAGAACCCCAATCAAACTAAGCATGAAGGGGAAATGTATCAGAAGACTTTTTGATACAAATCTGCCAGCTTCAACATCACAGGGACAAGAACTTGCTGTCTCTGGAATCAAAGTGAAACAACTTGGGAGAAAGCTCTGATGGTCCAGCATTAGCCAGGTGCTATCTCCTTGTCAGTGCTGGTGGATGAGGGGAAGGAATTATAAGAGCTGGAGAAAGAACATCTTCTGGAAGGGAAGACAAGACAGTATAGAATCCCCTACAAGTATGAAGCCAGTTACATTCAACACACACACATGCACACACACACAAAACGATGGCTGCTGTATAGAAAACGGGGTGGAAGGAGGCAGAGAGATGAGTTACCAGACTATTTCAACAGCCTAGTCCGGGGACAGTGGGAGTTGGGATAGGGCAGTGAGAATGGTGAGGGGTGGTTGGGTTAGGCCTCTCAAAGAAACACTTTTGAGGTAGAAGTAATAAGAGTTGGTAAAGGATTGGACAGGGTAGGGAGTGAGCGACATAGCAAGAATGATTCTCAGGCTTCTGGACTGGGCACTGGGTAGGAGGAGGTGCCATTCATGGAGATGGGAAAGCCCAAAGGAGGTGCATGTAAAGCAGGAGCTCCAAGGGGTGATGCCAGCTGGACAGCTGGACACATGGGTCAACAGTGACTAAGATAGGTTAAGGGTGGAGTTGTGACTTTGGAAGCTGCTGATGTTCTGGCATAGTTAAGTCCTGGCAATGAAAGAGACCCCATAAGGAGGCAGGAAGTATAAACAGAGAAGAGGAGAGGGCTCAGGATCCAGCCTTACAGGTAGTAGAGGATGAGGAGCTGGCAGGGGAGCCTGAGCAGCCAGCAGAGAGGTAGGAGAGAATGGGAGTGACACCTGCACAGGCACCTGGATAGGACAACATGGAGGTCACGGTGGCCTTAGCAGACATCACTGTGTGCTGTAGCAGGGGCAGATGTGGGCTCGTGTCCAGTAGAGAGTGATGGCTGATATAGGAAAGTATAGGGATTTAGAGGACATCCTATCTAATGGCTTTAATTCTCAAGAAGCTACGAGGTGAGATCATTAGAGAGCATGAGCAAGGGATGTGGGAGGGAGAAGAGCTGTGCTGTCTGACAGGTAGCTACCTGCTAAAGTGCAGAGAGAACCCATTTCCACCACAGCATGAAGTACTGTGGGGCAGCACTGTTTTACAGCAAGGCTTCTCAAGGTGCTGTCCTTGGACCAGCAACTTCAGCATCATCTGGGAAGTTGCTAAAAATGCAAAATCATGGCCCTCACCTGGTCTACAGAATCAGAATTTCTGTAGGATAGGGCCCAGGAAATTTGTTTCAACAGGCTCTCCAGGTGATTTTTAAGATGTTAAAGCTTGAGAATCTCTGTTCTTGAGAAGGGAAGTATGAGTGAAGCAAGGAAGCATGAGGGGCTCTCCCAGCAGACGTAAGCTTGGGAGAGCAGGGAGGTGTGCAGGAGCCAGCCAGACCAAGGGGACATTGCAACCTCCCTATGCCCTCTTATCTGCTTCATCCATTTGGCTGTGTGCCTGGGTTCCCACTGACGGCCGGACACAAGAGGAACATGTCTCTCATGCCTTTCCCCATGAACCCTCGAGCCTCTCTGCATCCTGCCAGCCCCACCACGCCCTCAGGCAAGCTCCCTACTGCTGAGCTGCATGTGTCCCTCCCCCACACAGCTCCTGCAGCACCTGCCCCTGTGGCCAGCGTGGTGTTCTATGGAGCTCCAGTCTAGCACTTGGCAGGGACTCCCGTCCCATCTCTAGGAGGCACTTCTTCCTGGGATGCCCATGGTGGGCAGCCAGAAAGTGCAAGTGTCCCTTGAAGACTCAGAGTCTCAAGTTCGCATAGCACAGCCCTCATGTTGGGATGTGGTGGGCATGTGTGAATTAATATAACTCACAAATGAGTTAATATTTCTAAAGCATTTCAAACAGCACTGGACACTAGGAAGTGCTATATAAACACACTGGACAGGGGAAGTGTTAAATAAAAGTATTGTTCTGCTGCACTTGGGTGTATGTGTAGGGAAGGAGTAGGAGTGGAAAGGAACTCACATCGGGCCTGCGCTTCTTTCTCCCAGGGACCCTGAGCAGTTCCAGCAGGAAAAGAAGTCTTGTGAGGAGGAGGCAGGGCTGGGGACACCTGGGAAAGGCGGAGGCCCAGGCTGGGAGTGGAGAGCAGGGGTGGCAGTGGCTTTGACCTGGGAGTGGGAAAGCCAGCACACAGAAGAGGCGACCCCGTTGTCTACCGTGTACGCATGCCCCTTAATCCCCTTTCTCCGAGCTCTTGCTGTCCCCGTTTCCTATCAAGTGTTTTCAGCGTCCGTTCTTCCAGGCATTTGCAAGTTCAATGGCTGCAAAAATATCCATCTGAGGAGGGCCCCTCCGCCTGCGCGGGTGAGCTTGGGGATGCAGGGGTGGGCGCGGCCCCTTCTCTCACACCCCCGCCCGTCCCCGCAGAGGAGTACCAGTGCACGGGGGTCCTCGAGATCGACTTCGCCGAGCTCTGCACGCGATGGGGCTACACGGACTTCCCCAAAGTTGTCAACCGGCCCCGCCCCCACCCGCCCTTCGTCCCCTCCGCGTCTTTATCGGAAAAGGCCACCCTAGGTGAGTGACAGTGGAGCTCCCCGGTGCCTGCCAGGGTCGCTTCGTCCATCCTCAGCCTCCCTTCCCACTCCGGGCCAAATGGAGGGACGCGGGGCCGTGTGTGTGTGTGAGTTGGGGGCGGGGGGATTCGACGAGGCCGGTGAGGAGGTGGAGGAGTCTCCCGTCTTCCTTTCCAAATCCCAGCAGAGGCGCGCGTGGCCGGAGAGGCAGCGCCCGCAGGCCGGCGCCTCCCGCGCTGGCGGTGTCCTCCAATCCCACCCGGGCACCCGTGGGCCGGCCCAGCGTGGAGCCTGGGGAGGTGGCTGTTCCCCTCCCTCCTCACCTCTGCCTTCCAGACGATCCGCGGCTGTCGGGGTCCTGCAGCCTCAACAGCCTGGAGAGCAAATACGTGTTCTTCCGGCCCACCATCCAGGTGGAGCTGGAGCAGGAGGACAGCAAGTCGGTGAAGGAAATCTACATCCGCGGTGAGCTCCGCTCCCCCCACCTGCCCCAGCTCCCTCCCGCTCCCCGGGCGCCTCCCAGGTCTGAGGCGCCTGCCTCCTCTTGGCCCGTAGGTTGGAAGGTTGAAGAACGGATTCTGGGTATCTTCTCTAAATGTCTGCCCCCGCTCACCCAGCTACAGGCCATCAAGTGAGAGGCACTGGGGGGATGGGCGCGAGGCCAGAGTGGGAGTTGGGGCTCCTGGTGGCTTGGGAGAGAGAACCAAGGGGCATGGGAGACCCTGGAGACGGTGGGGAGGTGGGAGGTGGGGGATGAGGAAGGGCGCCGCTGGGAGGTCCGTGTGGGAAGAGTTTTCCAGTAGGAGGCAGCGCTCTACCTCGGTGTTTCTGCACTTACCGCCCACGCCAGCTTTTGGAAGGTGGGACTGACGGATAAGACCCTGACCACCTTCATCGAGCTCCTGCCTCTCTGTTCATCCACGCTCAGGTCAGCAGAGGGAGAGGCCCCCAGTGCCTGGGCAGCCTGGCTGGGCGGGTGGTCAGAGGGAAGCAGTGTGGGGATGGAAGTGGCAGGTCCCAGCTCCTGTGGGCCTGGCTGGCATCCCTGTGGAATCAGAAGCAGGCAAAGTCTGTTGGATCATGATACCCCCATTAGACAAGAAGCCAGGCCCGCTTTTCTGCCCACACCAGCACCCAAAGAACCTGACCTTCAGGGGCTCATCCTGTCTCCCCTGCATTAGTCTCATTACCCTCTACTCCCTCCCCAGAGGTTCTCGCTCTCCTTCCTGGCTGCCTGGGGCCCTGGTCCTGTACTAGGGGCTGGTAAGGCAAGTTCTTATCCTCCAGGAACTCACAGTCCAGGGAGAGAGAGAAAAGGACAAAAGAATAAATACTGCAGGGCAATGTGGAGACTGGTGATGGAGGACTGGTTCATCCGGGGAGGGAGTGGGCAGAGAGAAGTGCCACCTCACTTTATGGATGTGGGGCAGGAAGACCTGGAAGACTGCCTGGAGGAGGTGGTACTGAGCTGAAGGAGGCCTAGGAGCAGGCCAGAGAGGGAATTGGGAAAGGGCATACTTGTATGGGAAGGAGCAGGAGCAAGGCATGGGGCAGGTAACTACAGGTGTGGTTGGGAGTGTAAGGGGCAAGGCTGATTTGGTCCTGCCCCTTCTCTAGGCTCCCACATAACCCTGCCTCTTGCTTCATGGAGGGGTACCCCTCCGTGCAGTGGCTTGCCTGTCTTCCTCCTGTGGATGGCTTGGGTGCTCCTTGAGGGCAGGGACTGTATCTTCTTCAGGTTGGGGTCCCCCGCACTCTGTAAAACACCATGAAACATGTTTCATTCCATCATGGGAATTAGCTAGCAGAAAACAACTGTATTAATTCATCTGTAAATAATGTGTAAGAGTAAGTCATAGCAACATACACAAATTCAAACTGAATGTAATCAAGTTTGTGTGACAGATGAGGCAGGCTGAAAGATTGAACAAAATAAGAAATCATGGGAGCAAATTTTTACATGGAGTCATTTCTAGCCATTAGTTCAGTTTTTGCTGTAACTTAGAAAAGGACCTCCACTCTCACAGCACTGTTAGAGAAGCCACTGCCGTGTGGATGCTCATGTTATAGTTATCTCTTGCTGTGTGACAAATTAACCCCAAGATTCAGTGGCTTAAAAGGACATACATTTATGATCTCATAGCTGCTGTGAGATGACCTGGGGGTGGGCTAGCTGAGTGCTCTGGCTCAGGGTTTGAGGTTGCCGTACAGCTGCCAACTGGGGCTGCAGTTACCTCAAGGATCAACTGTGGTGGAGAATCTGCCTCCAGGCTCGCTTGTGTGGCTGCCTGGGCCTCCCCACAGGCTGCCTCGAGTGTCCTTACCACATGGCAGCTGGCCATTTGAGAGAGTGCCAGAGAGCAGTCAAGATGGAAGCCACGGCCTTTGTAGCCTAAACCCGGAAGTGCTGTCCCATCTCTTCTGCCATGTTCTGTTCTTAGAAGCCAGGCACTTCTTTCCCTCCACCCCACCACCCTTCTTCTTCTCTTCTCTCTTCTCTTCCTTCTCTCTTCTCTCCTCCTTCTCCTCCTCCTCCTCTCTCCTCCCTCCTCCTCTCTCCTTCCTCTCCTCTCTCTCCTCTCCTTCTCTCTCTCCTCTTCCTTCTTCTTCTTCTCTCTCTCTCTCTCCTTCTCTCTCTCGTTCTTCTTCTTCTTCTTCTTCTCTTCTTCCTCTTCTTCCTCTTTCCTTTCTTAAGACCAGATCTGCCCTGTTGCCCAGTTGGAAGTAACAGTGCACAATCTCGGCTCACGCAAACCTCTGCCTCCGGTTCAAGTGATCTCCTGCTCAGCCTCCCAAGTAGCTGGGATTACAGGCACACACCACCACCTCCCGCTAACTTTTTGTATTTTTAGTAGAGACGGGGTTTCACCCTGTTGCCCAGGCTGGTCTCAAACTCCTGAGCTCAGGCAATCCGCCTGCCTTGGCCTCAAAAAGTGCTGGGATTACAGGCGTGAGCCACCGTGCTCGGCCAGAAGTGAGTCACTTCTAATATGAAGTCCACACTCAAGGGGAAGTGATGACCCAGGGGCATGAGTTCCAGGAGGTGGGGACCACTGAAGGCCATCTTAGGGGCCACCCTACCTTGGGTCACCAACTTTGGGGAGCAGCCCCTTCACAACGGGCACACCTGTTAATTTTTAGTCTGGGGAATTGTCACATATCTTTCCTATATTGGGGGGCAATCCTTCGACTCTGCTTCCTAGCTGCTTCCCAGGGAAGCACACTTCCTCTCTGTTCCCCTCCCTTACCTGGCCTCAGTGGTACCTTCTAGTTCTCAGATCTCACTTGCCCTCAGGAAGGTGTCTCTGGAGGGGAACCCACTGCCGGAGCAGTCCTATCATAAGCTCATGGCCTTGGACAGCACGTGAGACTCCCTGCCCTGACACCCTTTCTCTGGGCCTGTCTCGAAATTCCAAGCCATTTTTAGTCCCCACCCTTCCTTGTCCCCCTACCATCTCGGCAAGGGCTGTCGATTCCTGCCCCTACATCCTCAGACCAGACGGCCCCCTCAAGCCCTCAAGTCTCCCGTATTCCGGCGGGCGCCCTGTACCGTTTCCAGCGACCCACATTCTCCCTCTGGCTGCCCCAGGATTGCGCACTTGTCTCTGCGGAACAATAACATCGACGACCGCGGGGCGCAACTCCTGGGCCAGGCACTGTCCACGCTGCACAGCTGCAACCGGACCCTCGTCTCGCTCAACCTGGGCTTCAACCACATCGGGGACGAGGGCGCGGGCTACATCGCGGACGTGCGTGCGCGGCCGGGAGGGACCTGCTGGGAGCAGGGGCGCCTCAGGCGGCTCACGCGTCCCTGCCCGCTTCTTAGGGTCTCCGGCTGAACCGTTCCCTGCTCTGGCTGTCCCTGGCCCACAATCGCATCCAGGACAAGGGCGCCCTGAAGCTGGCTGAGGTGGGTGTGCCGACCAGGTGGGGCCGGGGCGTGGACGGGCCAAGGGAGCCGACCGCTGAGAGCCAGCCTCCTTCAGGTCCTGCGCGCCTTCGAGTTGACGCACACGGAGGTGGTGGAGCGCCGGCGTCTCCTGCTGGAGAAAGGGACGCAGGAGCGCTCGCGATCGGTGAGGAGCCCCAAGGCGCCAGGACCAGCGGAGAGCGCCTCTGACCCTCGAGCCCACTCCCCAAGTCCGCTGCTTTTCAGCAAACTGGCCATCCGGTTTAATCTCCACCCTCTGTCGTGACTGTCTTTCCCTCCGATTTGTGCACAGACGTTTGCCAGGCGCCTGCTGGGCAGGCTCTAATTGCATAACCACCTTATGGGCAGTAGAGTGTACTGGTTCAGAGATACGACACTAGATTGAGAACATCTGGACCTGAAATCCGACTCATCCATATCCCAGCTTGTAATCTTGGGCAAGCTACTAAACTTTTTTTTTTTTTTTTTTTAAGACAGAGTCTGGCTCTGTTGCCCAGGCTGGAGTGCAGTGGTGCGATCTCGGCTCACTGACGTTTCTGCCTCCCGGGTTCAAGCGATTTTTCTGCCTTAGCCTCCTGAGTGGCTGAGATTACAGGTGTGTGCGACCACGCCCAGCTAAGTTTTGTATTTTTTTTTAGTAGAGATGGGGTTTTGCTACGTTGACCAGGCTGGTCTCGAACTCCTGGTCTCAAATGATCTGCCCACTTTGGCCTCCCAAAGTATTGGGATTACAGGCATGAGCCACTGCACCTGGCCTGTGTTACTTAACTTCTCATTGCCTTAGTTTCCTCATCTGTAAGTGGGTAATTGTACCTATTTCATGACTGTTGAGAGGATTTAGTGACTTATTTCCTGCAATGCAGTTAAAATAGCGCCTGGCACTTAGCTCAATAAAAGCTGCTATTTTTTCCCCTCAATATGAGAATCTGAGACCCTGCCTCACCGTTCGTATCACCCCTACCCAGGTCCGTCTGCTATTTCTTCCCCAGAGCATCTCACCCCAGAGAAGTCCTATACAGATTATTAGGCAGGGAGGTGGGTGGGAGGGTGCTTGTCAGCTCGACTGCTCCCCAAGTATGCATACAGCTACCTTTCATGCCCCCATTGAGGAAGGGACTCTGGCTTCTTCCTCCTTTCCCTCCCATTTGTGAGCACAGCCCTCCTCCTCTCGACATGGGGACTCCAAAACGGACCGTGAGAAGAGTCAGATGGTAGGGATCAGCAATAGTGCATTGGTGGACAAGACAGACAAGACGCAGACAACGAAAACCCCTAAGGGCCTGGGCAAGAAAAAGGAGAAGTCATGGGTAGGTGTGCAATGGGACAGAGCCTGGGCACTGGATGGACAGGGGAGGGGGCTTCCATCATGTGCAGAAGCGGTGGAGGGAAGAAGGTCACATGGGCCTTTGAAGTTCCCCCTAAGGCTGCAGGTCCTAATCTGGGCTCCTTCCCTCACCACTGCCCATCCCCTCCGGAGGTGGGACTTCCACCTCTCTTCTCACATTCTCCACAGGAATTGGCCAAGAAAGAGGAGAAGTCGGGGTCTGGGCAGTCACCCACACAAGGAACCCCTAAGAAAGAAGATGCCACAAAGGCAGGCAAGGGGAGTAAGTGCGGGCGCCCTTTGGCGGCACCTTCCTGTGTGGAGGAGGGAAGAGTGCCTGGACGGGTGCAGGAGGCTGTTCTGGGCCTGGGTGCGCCTGCCTGGAGCTCATCTCGCCATGTCCCTCTGGGCTTGATTTCCTTCTTACAGAGGGATGATGTGGAGAGCCGCATCCAGCCCAGACATCCTGACCCACTGCTGTCCTCATTCCTTTTGTTGGAGCTGGAGCTCTGTGGCCCTGTCTTCAAAGAACCCACCCACCTAGCTGGGGCCCCCTCCAGTCATTTCTTTTTTTCTTTTCTTTTTTTTTTTAGATGGAGTCTCACTCTGTTGCCCAGGCTGGAGTGCAGAGGTGCGATCTTGGCTCACTGCAGCCTCTGTCTCCTGGGTTCAAGCAATTCTCCTGCCCCAGCTTACCCAGTAGCTGGGATTACAGGCATGCGCCACCACGCCCAGCTAATTTTTGCATTTTTAGTAGAGACAGGGCTTCACCATATTGGCCAGGCTGGTTGCAAATTCCTGACCTCAGGTGATCCTCCTGCTTTGGCCTCCCAAAGTGCTGGGATTACAGGTGTGAGCTACCACACCCAGCCCCCTCCAGCCGTTTCTGTTGGACCCAAACCCAAAGTTGGGGGGTCTCTTTGCCTCACCTAGCCTGTTCTTTCTGGGGAGGGAGGCTGGGTGGCATTAGAAGTGTGCACTGTGCATTCTGGCTGCTCTTCTGGCCCCAGAGGTAACCATCCCTGAGCAGAAGCCAAGCAGGATAAAAGGGATCAAGATCGGGAGCAGAGAGAAGCGCAGCATCCTCCCGGAGTCCGAGGTAAGCTGCCAGGAGGAGTGGAGGCAGGGGGCACACCCCTGGGATTCCAGGCTTGCCTGAGACCTCTCACCCTAGCCCCTGCTGGAATGTGGTCTCCAGCCCCATGCTGTGGCAGCAGCCATTTACTTTCAAATTTGTCCTCCACTCCTCTCCCAACCTCACCTGAAACCCCCTCCCATCTCACCCTGGGCTTCTGTGGGAATAGTGGGAGCAGGCCCATTCTACTTTTACTTGTCTATTAGTAGCCCACACTTTGGATCTGCTGTCTCAACTCAGCCAGGCTGCTTCCCCAGAGGCCCTCAGTTCCTCATCACCACCTCCATCACTTGCTTGGACTGTTGCATAGGAAAAAGTGTCTTCTTTTTTGCCCCTCTCAGCAGCTCCCCGAGGAAGCCAGCGCATTTTTATGGTCATGGCACTGCCCCACGCTACCCTGTGCATAGGTCCTTCTTCAGACCCTCTCTCTCTTGCCCCTGGATCTTCTGTGTCCCCTTTCAACTTGGACCAACTTGCTGCTTGCATTGGAAGTCTTCCTGGGCTGCCTCCAGTGCTCCTACCGTCCCTCATCCCTCCATTCTGTCAGCTGCCTGAGCATCTGCCTCTCTGTACTTTTTGCTTCCATCGGAAGACTCCCTGCACACCCTAGGCAGGGAAGGGCCCGTCTCCTTTCAGGAGTCTTCTCTGGCACCCAAGACAAAATCTTACAAAAGAGGATGTTCAGAGGCAGGAAGAGGTTGGGGTTGGCTTTCAGTTTCCATTTTTCATCTCTGCCTCTGTCTTGATCAGGCTGCTGATTGTCACTAGGACTATTGCAATTTCTTTTCATCGTGCCCGTCATTGTCAGTCACTTCCCTCCAATCTATTCTCCTCATTGCTCTAGGTGTTAGGAAACACTTAGTAAAACCTGAACGTGACATACTGTTTCACACTTCCAGAGCCTTTGCACCTGCTTTTTTGCCTAGAACACCTTTCCCGTACATGATGTGCATTCACAGGAGACCCTTCCTGGCCTGGCCTAGGTATTCCCTTTCCGTGCTCCCACAGTGCTCTGAGTTTGCCTCTATCAGTGCTCACTCTAGACCACGTTACTTTCACTTTCTGGCTCCCCAACACAAAGGAGCTTCTTGAGGGTATGGGCTTATTTATTTTTGTATCCCCAGCACCTGGGACAAAGCCTGGACTATAGCCGGCAGTCAAAACATGTATGTTGAATGAATGAATGAATGGCCTGTTGACCAGCTCCCCTGCTGTCTGCTGCAATTAGTATTCTGCTTTAGCAGCTGGTTGTTGAGGCTACTGAGGTGATCAACCCTCTCCTGGAGCCTGTGGAGCACCGAGATGGGAAAGTTTTCATGCCTGGGAACAAGGTCCTTTTGCACCTCAACCTCCTCCGTATGTCTGCCAACCTCCTCTGTCCTCCTGCCATGAGGCTACCTGGGTCCTGTCCTGCCCGAGGGTGTCTGCCCTGACTCTATGGAGCAGACCTGGTCCTCCCATCTTTGGGCTACATGTTCCCCAAGGCTCTCTTGCACACGGCTTGAGGGGCCAGGGGAAGTGCTGAGTCTGGGAGGCTGGGGACAGGCGATTGGAGTAATGAGGGGAGTTAGATGGGGTGTGTGTGAAGAGCTGGGTGAAGGGTCAGGTCAGGGAAAGGTGTGCCTGGGCCAGTGAGTCTGGAGTGGGGAGCTGGAGGAACTGGGCTGCTGGGGATGTCTGGTGTGTCAGGTGCCAGTGAGGCCTGTGGTGCTAAGAGGCCACCTGTCTGCACCTTCCACCAGGGAACCGCATCACAGAGGTGGGTCTGGAGGGCTTCCTCGCCACAGTGCAGTATCAGATGCAGTTCTCCAAGGCCAAGAGTGTGTCCAAGGGTCCAGTGGGGCTGCTGTGGCTGTCCCTCGCTGTGAGTCCCTTTCACTCTCTCCTGCTGAAGCAGAGCTTGCCCCTATCAATCAGCTGTCACACTAGACAGCTGCTGCAGGCAGCTTCTGTCTCCCCATTTCCAAGGAAGCTCTGTAGTTTCTCTGCTTCTTTGTAAAAATCACAACATAACCTCCGTTCCTCTTGCTGGAAGATCAGCAGTATTAATCACTCGGCTTTTTCTGCATGTCCCCCAGCCCCTAACCCACCCTGCACCAGGACCATTTTTTTTTTTTCTCCCAGAGGACTAATCTTCATTCCTCTTGTCAGATGTCAGCCTTCCTTTTCTTTTCAGAAAAATTGCTTCGCCCCACAATGTCCTGCGTACGCCATAATCCAGGAGCTGATGTTGCCAAGGGATCCCATCAAGGCCAAACTCAGGGAGGATGAGGCCATGGCATTCTTCCCCTAGCCCCTCCCACCTGCTTGCCTCTGAGACTCAGAAGCACCTCCTGTCCCTGTGTGGGCTGACCTCCCTGGGGGAGATCTCAGACCAATAACAAAGTCTGTTGCTATACTTTTCCTTGAGGTTGTCTGAAAACTTTCTTCCAGAACTACTTGGAACATTTAGATTTTGTGTCTGTCCATGTTACATGGCCAAGAGTGGCAGAAAAGTGGCCTGAATTAGTTCTGCTGGGGATGATCTCAGCCCCTCTGGCCTCAGTTAGCCAGGGGCATTGCCCTTCTGCCTCCTGGGGGCTAGTTCTTCCTTGCTCAGGCAATAGCCATGCCCCACCGTGTTCCCTAGGGGACATGCATTATGCCAGGGTTTGCATTCAGAAAGATTTGGGATAGGGATTAATAACTGACATGCACAGGCTTGGGAGGAGAGTGGGAGCAGGAGTAGGTAAAGCAGAGGAATTAAGCAAGCTTTCCCATCTGGCTGGCCCAGGTGTTTGACTACTTTGGAGGAGAGGTAAGGTTCAGCTTAAGAAAATGAACAAAGGCTTGGCAGGCCACTTTGGAGAGGGTGCTAAACGCTCAACATCTACATAGCAAAGGCTAAGCATTGAACATGAACCCTAATAACCCACCTGCAGAAGTCAGCAATCTGAAACCAGAGGTGTGAGGTTCCTGAGCCAAGTCACGGTCCCCAAACCTTTACCCTTCAGTGCTGCCTCCACTGAGGTCACCTGCCATTGCAGGTGGCTTTGGGGAGCCCACCTGTAACCTATAGCAGTGTCCGAGAAGGCGCAGATCAACAAGGACCAGCCTTCCTTCCTCACTTCTGAGCAGATTCAACCTGTTCCACATTCTCTAGTCCTACTTCCCTCACTCCACTGCCTCTGCCTACCTAGAATTCCCTTGTCCTGCCATCTTACTTTGTGTGGCTCAGTGGCGCTTAGGCCTGTCTCCTGCCTCTGAGTGCCTGGAGCCCTCCTAGTCTGACTGCCCCAGCTGTCTCTGCAGCTGGTTGTAGAGCGAGCTTCTCCAGGAAAAACCCATCATTTCTTTGAATTTCCAACACTGAACACATTGAGGTGCTGGATGGTCACCCCAGCTTCTGCAGGGAACCTTGCCATGTCCTCCAGAGCTTCGGTGACCCCTTCAGCCCATATCCTTATCCCACCCTTCATCATTGACTCCTGTATCAATTCTGATGCCCAAATACACTGTACCCTAATGAGGAGGACATAGCTGAGGATTGTGAGAGGGAGTCAGGGTTAGGGCTGGAAGAGAGTTTGTCACTTGAATCCAACACTGAATGTCAGGAGACAGAGGTGATATGGTTAGTCTTGGTGATGTGGCTGCGTCTGTGGGAGGATGTGGATGGATGACAGTGACGAACTGGCCAGGCCCAAGGCAACCCTCCCGCCTAGGTTTGGCTTTTAAAGTCCTCAAGCTCATTGAGGGCAGCTCATGAGACCTCTTGACTATGGGTCCACTGCTCCTTTATATACATATATATGTGTGTTTGTGTGTGTGGAATCAGTGTCTTGTCATGTTTTCTCCATGGGGGTTGTATAACTTCAGTTTGCCCAGCCCCTAGTTCAGCGAGTACACATCTGAAGGAACAGGTGAGGGAACAGGCAAGACCTGGGTCTAGGGGTGAGAGGGCTCCCTCTGGTTCCCACTATCCAATCCCATCCAGTCTTACAGGGAACAAACACCGTACCTTTTATCACAGCGATTCCAAGAAACACACATACCACCATTGAAGAATATTTAACTTTTCTTAAAAAAAAATCTTAACCATGAAAGGAAGAAAATAAAAGAGTATACATTATCTTAACAGCAAAACAGTCATTTCCATATCTATATTTTATATATTATATATATATTTATATATATATATATGTATATATACACCTAGCACAGTGTGTATATTCTATTCATCAGGGAGAGTTGGGTGAGGACATGGTGATGGGGCCAATGCTGTGGTGGCCGCTTGGATGGTCCTGGGTGAATTCAGGGACTCAGCATTCAGACCCGCTATCCCCACCTCCTGGGCCCAGTCTTCAGCTCCGTACCTGCTTTACCTGCTTCACTGGTTTTCTACAGGGACAGGGCGGGGAAGGAGGGACATAGGTGGGGTAAGAAACTCCCCATGGTCCCCATCTTGTGAAGATGAGAAGTCCAGGGAGGGAGGGAGTAGCCCGGCAGCAAGCTGTGGAGGGCAGGCTCTGGAGCCAGGTGGGACGGGGAGCCAGAAGACCTTCCCACTCACAGCGACAGGGACACTCAGGCCTGGCTCCCCCTTTAGGCTCGATCCTCGAGCTGGGTTGTTAACTAGGAGATAAAAGTGAACCCCCTCTTCCCTAAGCAGCTTCTTCCATATAACTGCCTCCAGCACTTCAGGAACAGAAACAAAAAAGGTCAAAGTTATTTACAATAGCAAAGATGCACATACGATACATACATATTTATAGGAAACCAAAGTGACAAAGAGGGGAGGGGAGGCACCCACCTCCGCCTGGGGTCTTATGGAGAAAGAGGGGAGGAAGAAAGTGCATTTACACAGAAGCCTCCTCCTTTCACTTGCATGTCTGAGGGCAGCGCACATACAGGCGTGCACGCACATGTAGGGTGAGGGCAGACCATGGTGAGTGGGGGCCTTTCAAATGCAGTCAGCATGCTTTGGAGACACAAGGCCTTGGAGGGTTGGGCTGAGGGAGGGAAAAGACACTGAAACTTGACTCCGATTTGAGCAGACCAAGCAACATGCGGGTCTCCCCCAAGGCCTTGGCTGGATCCTAGTTTCCCCAACTGCCTCCTCCACAGGGAGGAGCGTTGGGATCCCCCCTACCCTGTGCCCTGGTCTCAGGCCAGTCCCTGAAGGAGGAGTGGGGACACAGAGGATTTGGTGGTTTGCACGGTTATGGTCCTGGTGACGCGGCTGCATCTGCTGCGCTGTCTTCCAGAGGGGCGTCAGAGCCTGTGGGAGGAGGATGAAGGTAAGGAACTGGCCAGCCTGAGGTGACCGCTTCCACATGATCTGTCTAGAAAGTCTTCAGGCTCACGAGAGCAGCCCCTTCCTTCTCCTCCAGAAACCCCACTTTCTTGCAGGGCTTGAAAAGGGTTGTCTACTGAACTCCACTTTCATCAACCCCTAAAGCCCTTAGATCAGGTAGGTACATGCCTTGTCTTCCTGAGTTATGACATAGCTGTGTCCCTGGCTCACCCAGTGTGGTTCTGAACCATTTAATCAGCACCAGTCTTAGGCTGGCACTGTGTGTGCACCTGCAATCCCAGCTGCTTCAGAGGCTGAGCAGGGAGGATCACGTGGGCCCAGGAGTTTGAGACCAGCCTGGGCAACATAGCCAGGCCAGCCCTTGTCTCGAAGAAATAGAAAATATTTATATTTTATATATGTATATATACACATACACACACACACACACATATATGTAATTTTAAAAAGTACAGATCTTAGATGTGAGACCGGGCTCCTCCTGGTTTGTTACCTCCATATACAAGGAAAAAGAGGGCTCAATTCTAAGCTCCCCATTTTTCCGGGGAGCTTCTGTGGGACTTCCCTAAAAAGATCCCTCTCTGAAGCTGATGGAATGAATTCGTTTCACTCAAGGGGAAACCAGGCTCTCAGAACCACTATCTCTCACTGCTTAGTGATGTGTCCTCACCAGGTGGCGGACTTCTCCCCTATGGTAGGTACTGAGAGGGACCTGGCTTCACTCACCATCCTCAGGGCAGGGCCCCAGTTCATGGCTGTTCCTGGAGTCAGAAGCCAGGGGCTCCTTAGTGGGAGGTGAGAGGGAGCCGTCTGTCCATCTAGCTGCTTCTGTGTGGAAACTGCCCACAGGCGTGGTGCCACCAGATGACTCTCCCCCGAGGGACTTGAGCAGCTCTCTGTGGGCCAGCTCCATATCCTAGAAGAGTCGGCGGGGGAATGTCTGCTCAAGTCCTTCTATTCCTAAGGCCCCTGGGGAAGGGGTCATACTCTGATCTGTGCTGGGCCTTGGGGATGGGGCTGTGATTTAAGGGTGGCTGGGGGAAGATTCCCGGGCCAGGACAGGATCTAGGGCTCCCGCGAAGACACACATCTCACTCATGGGGAATGGTTTTGGAGTGATGGACTGAAGGCCTGCAGGGACCCAAGCCCTGTTTCCCTCACCTTGAGCCTGTTGAGCTTGAGGGTGAGCTGCTCAATGGTACGGAAGATCATGCCTACGTCCCTGAGGGCCAGGCTTGGGGGAGAGCGGCTGAGGCGTCTTGGATCTCCATTGCCTCCCTGAAGCTGAGGCCGAGGCTCTGCCTGCCCTGCAGGGACGCTGTCAGGCTGAGGGGGGCTTGTGGGTACCCCTGAGTGGTCGGTGCTTGAGTCCAGGGGTCCTGCTGGCATGCTGACATAAAAGCAGTTCCCTGTCCCCACAGTAAGAGAATGAGATCAGGAGGCAAACAGAGAAGTTGAAGCTATCCTCCCGCTCCTGTGGGATTCCCTAGCCACCTGACAGAGCAGGCCAGGCAGTCCTCTCCAGATGAACTTGTAGCACACGGGCCTTGCTCACTGTCTGCCAGCCCCCTAAAAGCCCTGCTCCCGAGACTCTTTCTTTTTTTTGAGACGGAGTCTCCCTCCGTCACCAGGGTGGAGTGTAGTGGCGCGATCTTTGCTCACTGCAACTTCCGCTTTCTGGGTTTAAGCAATTCTCCTGCCTCAGCCTCCCGATTAGCTGGGATTACAGGCCCGTGCCACCATGCCCAGCTAATTTTTGTATTCTTAGTAGAGATGGGGTTTCACCATGTTGGTCAGGCTGGTCTCGATCTCATGACCTCGGGATCCGCCCGCTTCGGCCTCCCAAAGTGCTGGGATTACAGGCGTGAGCCACCGCGCTCGGCCACTCCCGAGATTTTCTAGATGGCACTTTGTTCAGTCTGGCCCCAACCCAGGGGAGATGCTGAGTGGTGAACTCAAGGGAGAAGTGGCAGAGCTGCAGTATTTCATTTGGGGAAATCAGAGTGGCTCCCCGTCCTTGAGTAAACAGATTGTGGACTGGTTTCAGGCTCTTTTGAAAGGAGCAGGCAGCAGCCCTCCTGCCCTGCCTGACTCCAGCTCTGGATGAACTGCAGCCCCGCCCTGCCCCTCTTCCATCCATGCCATGATCCTCTGGAGGTCCCTTGACCCAACCAAGGGGTGTCAGAGAGAGCTGGAGGAAGGACGTGGAGGGTTCCTGACAGGCAGGAAGCACAGAGAACCACCGTGGAACCTGGGGGGCCCTTTCAGCCGATTTCCACAGTGACACTGGAGCGGCGGCTGAGGTGGGGAAGTGGCTGCTCGAGTATCAGGTGAAGGACACTGGGTCCCCAGAACCAGGCCAGGCTTCCCTGCCCCTCCCACAATTGCACACAGGCATTTATCCCTGCCACTCTGAACAGGAGCCTGGGCAGGTGGATTCTTAAGACAGCACAGGGCCTGTCCCTGTCTTTAGAGCCAGATCTTCCTCCTCCTCCCCATTCCAGGCAGCTGAGGGAGCTTGTGGGTGTGTGTGTGACCATGGGCAGGGGTCTGACTCTGCCCTCACAGGTTCCACACTCCAGTCCTGGCCTGTCTTTAGCTCCAAGGAGAAAGTTATTACCCGTAGCCTTTGTTCCGCCTTCCACTTCAGGTGGCCCAGGCTCTGACTGGCCACTCTCTGGTAGTGCAGGGACAACCTTGCTGCCTGCCACCTCAGCTGCACCGACACCACCACCACCAGGAAGAGGAGAGACCAGAAGACAAGGAAAGGGAAGGGAGAGAGAACAGGAAGGAGAGAGGGCAGGAGGTGAGGACGGGGGAGGAGAAAACGGGAACAAGGTGAACACAAGATCATACACGATGACATCCCAGGCAGTGCAGAGAACTTTCCACCAATTCACCAGCAGAGAGAGAAGGAAGGTCAGCTCCCAGAAACCCAGGAGAAGGCGGGCATTGGGCAGATGGAATGAAAAATGCTGCTGGAAGGGCGGCAGAGTGGAACCTCAGGGGAGGGCAGGCCCACTAGCGCGGAACCCCACCCCAGGTGTGCCCCAGGTTTTGTTCTACCTTTCTTGCCACCCTCTCAGACCAGCCCACTCTTCCCGGGGCAGGGACCTTCCTCCCTGGGCTCACTGCTTGGGCTGGGCAGACCTGTCGGCCTCCCTGTGAGCTTGTCTTGGCTTTTCTTGTCTCAAGGCTGCCCATGGTGTTTTCCAACCCGGGGTGCCCTCCCTGCCACCTTATTCAATCCCCATACCCCTCACTCGCCAAATGTCTTCTCAGCTTTGTCTTCCACCCCTTCCAGTCCCAGCTGCCACCTCTACTGCCCTAGGTGCTGTTGCCTGGTGTGAGGGGCTGCATGCACCTGCCCTGTCTTTCCCAGCCTGAGGCTCCTGAGAAGGGCGGCTCTTTTCCGTGGGACCAGATGAGTGAGGAGCGCTAACAGAGACTGGTTGCTGGTAGCTGGTTTGTGCCAGGCAGAAGGAAATGTCCTTATGTGTTACAAAATGAAGTTCAGAGATGATTCAGAATTTTGTGTAAAGCCACACAGATATTAAGTGGCAGAGCTAAGCTCTGAATCTCGACTGCCTAACTCCAAAGCCTGCCTGGTATCAGCGTGTCTCCTTCATCCAGGACCAAGTGTAGGTCTCTGCTCACACGGTACCCAGGGGGAATATAGGGAAGGAAGCAGCTATTCGGAAGACTTATCTCACCTAGCAAGGGAGCTTGTCTCCCCACTGGACACTCTCATTTATTTTACCTTTTCTTACAACTTTGTAACCTCCTGCTGCCTCTGTGCTTGAAGCCTCTTCAGCCAGACTCCTGTCCAGTTCTGGAGACTCCCATATCCCAGAATTTCTGGTCCTTGGGGGTAGGTGTTCCAGAGAACAGAGACCCACGTCCTCCTGCTCTGGCCGTTCCCCCTCTGGCCCTGCAAGCTGGGTGTTGTCTCCTTGACCCCCAGGGGGCGCCTGCCCTGGGGAGCCTGGGTCCCAGGGGTGAGAGGTGACACTGATGACAGAAGGTGTGGGTGTCAGGTCGTCCTCGGGCTCCTGGGCAGCCTGAGTTTCCATGGTGTGACCTGGCAGCAGGCTCCACAGGATCAGGTGTCGCAAGTTCTCCACTGGAAGGGAAACAGGGTGATGTCTTCCCAGCACAGGATGGCACACCACGCCAGAAGGATCGCTGTGCTGCTCCACCGACCCCAAGGTGGTGACCTCAGGCACAGGTGAAGCTGGAGGGCTCTGGTCAACTAGCTGGTGGGGGTTGGGTGGGGAATGACATCTGTCTCTGCATCCATCTCTCCTCAAGCACACCAGGGAGAGCCTTCGGGAAGGTGGAGGGTGCAGGCGCCTGCCAGTTCACACTGGCTGTGCAACTGGGGACCAGGGGCTGACAGCAGGGCCTTGAAGCACTCACCATCTTCCAGAGCGGAGTCAGCGAGCCCTTCCATGAACAGAGGGCCGGGGAAGGCCAGGTGGATGGGGTTCCTTGTCCTGATGCCCCTGTTCTCTCCATCCAGGGATGCAGAAGGGCAAGGCAGGACACCCAGTTCCTCTTCCTCTGCACTGCCCTCCTGCTCAGGGTCCTCTAGCAGGACTGGGTGCTTCCCTTGGACCCTCTGCTGGGGCCCAGTGCCTGTTTTGGATGAGAGAAGAAGGCAGGGAAAGGGAGACGGCTTGTATGGGAAAGCCTACGCGCAGCTTTGGAGCCAAAGGGCTGGGAACACGGATTCGTTCTACCGTTGTTTACTGAGAACTTCCTGTGGCCGGCGCTGTCCCAGGCTCTTGGCACATGACAGTAAGCAAAACAGAAAGATCCCTGCCCATGTTGAGCTTACATTCTAGTGAAGGGACATACAAAAATAAGACTCTTCAGTCAATTATGTAGTTTGTTAGAAGGCAGTAACTTCCACGGGAAAGAAGAAGACAACAGCAGGGCATGGGGCTGGGGGCTGGGCAGTGCTGGCTACAGTATTAAACAGATTGGGCCAAGAGGACACTGGAATGAAGACATGAAGGAGGTGTGGCGTTAGGAGGAAAAGCATTCTAAGCAGAAGGAAACAACAGACACCCAGCCAGGAAGCCCGAGATTTCTCTTGAAACCCGAGACCCCAGGTTACTTCACACGCAAGCTCTCAATGAGAATGCTGTCCCCATCACAGTAACTGCATCTTAAGCCCTTTGAGCTCCCCAGGCCCCCATGTTTTCCACACCCATAGTTGCAGTACGCATCTCTCTCCCCAACAGTAACCCCCTGGAGGATGCAGGGCCCGTGGATCCCGCCAGACTGCTCGTCTTCTTCCATGGCTGACGCTGTCACCCAGAGAGGCTGGGTGGGAATCTCTGGTCAGGTGAGCGAGTTCACCCTTTCTTAAGTCTGTTCAATCTGCTCTCCTTCCTCTTCCAGATTCTTCCTCCTGCCCTGTTTCTTCTCTACTCTTTATCAAAACCTCACACCCCGGGCCCCGATGGACTCTCCCATCGCCCCATACTCACACCCAACCTGTGCCTACAGAAAAAGGCCTGGGCAGGCTCCCACAGGACAGTTCAGGGCCCTTACCTCCAGGCAGCTCCTCGGGTTCGGGTTCACCATGGAACACGTCTGAGTCATCCAGTTCTACCCTGAGGGAGGAAACCAACTCAGGGTGAGATGTCATGAGATTCCACCCTGGACTCGTGTGTTAGAATGGGCAATGCAGTAGGACCCGAGAAGGACGGTGTGGGCCTCCTCACCTGGCTGGTCTGCTTGGCAACCCGGAGAGGAGGGGGGCTGCTGGCTGAGCTTCTCTGGTCCCCTGCTCTACATCCCCCTCACCCTACTTCAGGCTCAGCTCTATTACAGCCAGGTAGCAGACTGTGGGGGAGCGGACAGGGACAGGAAGCAGGGATGGGGGCATGTTTCTCCATCTGCCAGCGCTTGGAGCTGTCTGCTCCCTGCTAGCATTTCCCTGTTGTGGCTGTCCACCCCTGGGGTTGAAGGGCTTAGAAGCAGCAGGAAACAGGAGGTTTGGAGTGGAGAGAGTGCGGGGTCTGGAGGGCTAAGTGCTGCACCTGCTGGGTGTGAGGCCCTGGTGGGCTGGCTCCTGGGGGCCTGGGGGTGGAGGATGGATGGGCATCGGGGCAGCTCCGGGGTGCCTGGTGGCATTCCGCACGGCCTCTTCTAAGAGCTCCATCCATCTGTTGCTCGGCAGGAACAGAGAGGACTGTAGTGAGAGCAAGATAGTGGCACACACCACCCCGTACTGAGCCCACTGGAGCAAGGTTTCCAGGCCCTTCTCCAGGCCCTAAGAACCCTCTGCCTGGCAGGTGCCCACCTCCCTGTACAGTCCTCCCGGGCTGCTCCCTTGGGGTTATATTACTTGCAGCTACCAAATCCTGGACACCAACCCTCTGTTACGCTCTGGGCAAAGCATTCTGTGTTTTCTCTCTAAAGTAATTCTCTAACAGGTAGCATTAGCCACATTTTGAAAGATGAAAACCTTGGAGTTGGGAAACTGTTTGACTCGACCTGTCTCCTTCCACTGTACCACGCCACCTCTGGCAGCTGCTGTCAGAGAACATGGGTTGGGCAGGAGGCAAATGCTTGAGAAGGATGCATGAATCTAATTCGCCTGACGGTGAAGGGAGTAGGGCAGGAAGGAAAGCAGCAGCAGCAGCAGCTGCTGGAAGACTGCCAGAAACTCATTCTCCCAGAAGTGGGCCTGGCGACTAGCTCAGGGGTGATGACCCCTCCCAGCTTCTCTACTTCTGTCCTACCTCCCACTTCCCTTCCCAACCCCCTGTCCAGGCACTGCTCTGGGGCCCAGTCCTGGTGTTGCTATCCACCATCCTCATACACACCACCCTGGTCCCAAAGGGACTGTGGTTACGGGTAACCCCTCAATCAATTCTCACGTGTTCTTGTCTGATGATGTCAATGCAACCAGCTCATAGATCTGGGGCGGGCCCAGCTTAGAGGTGCAGATGATGAAGAAGGCCCGTTTATCTGCGTGAGGAAAGGAAGGTAGAAGGGTCTGTACTAGGGATGGGAGGTGTGACTGCAGCCTGGGCCAGGGTGACAGAGTGGGACTCAAAGCCCTGACCCTCAACGCGGATGGAGAGTGCAGCACGAGACAGATGTGGATCATGAGGACCACTTGGAACCCACTTACACAAGGGACAGAGGAAATTCCAGGACCCCTAATGTCATCTTTCACAGCCACCCCATTCCTCTCCTGCTCTAATAATAGTGATGGCTGATGTGTGTATGGTGCTTAGGATTTATAAAACTTTTTATTGTTTTTTGAGACGGAGTCTCACTGTCGCCCAGGCTGGAGTGCAGTGGTGCCATCTTGGCTCACTGCAACCTCCGCCTCCCAAGTTCAAGCAATTCTCCTGCCTCAGCCTCCCGAGTAGCTGGAATTACAGGTGCCTGCCAACATGCCTGGCTAATTTTTGTATTTTTAGTAGAGACAGGTTTCACCATGTGGGCCAGGCTGGTCTTAAACTCCTGACCTCAAGTGATCTGCCTGCCTCAGGCTCCCAAAGCAGTGGGATTATAGTTTATAATTTTATAAAACTTTTCATACCTGTCATTCCTTTTGATGCCCCCACGAGGTAGGGTAGGTATCACTCCTATCTTACAGACAAAAAAAGTGAATCCAGAGAATTTTGCTCCAGAGCCCTTTCTCACACACACTGCACTTCTCATTGAAACGTCTCTGTCCACTGGACCCAGCTCTGTACCGTGGGTACTAACATCTTCTGTAACCAAACTCTGCCCAAGTCACTCTTACAGCAGATAAGGCTTGTCCTACTCATTCTGCCTAATCCCATTCTTCCCAGTCCTGCTCAGACACTCTTACCCCATCCTGGGTGTGCACGTCCCATCCAAACCAGCACTGTGCTTGAGGACTGCTGACCACCCCTGTGCCAGGTTGTCTATCTTCCTCTTGGTCCCCATCCTAACCCTCATCCTACCCCACTTTGGGCCAGTCCTCCTGCTTAGGCTGGGTCAGGACAGGAGGAAAGGAACACAGGTGGACAGGTAGGTCCTGTAAAGGCTCCACACTGACCCTGCCTCACCCAGCACTCACTGGACATGGTCCCTGAGCCCCAGACCAGCCTGGACCATCTCCCCAGGTACCTGTGGCCACAGAGCGGATGAGCACAGCATTGAGCTTGAGTACGGGGCTGAAGGTCTGCTTGCTGTCTGAGGAGCCCACAGCGGTCTTGCTGTGGCATTTCAGCAGTAGCTTCTCGTCCTGTTTCTGCAGCAGCACTAGGAGGTCCTCCAGCAGCAGCACATGGAGGTCTGGAGGGGTATGGTCGTGGGGAGGCGTTCCCTGGTGCCCACTCATACCTCATGAGCACAATGTAGGGCCATAGGCTCTTGGAGGCTCTAGGAAGCCCTGGGAGTCTGGTGACCCCATTTCTCTCTCTGGTAACTCCCTTCCCATGTCCTGAGCTATCACCTCCAGTCATATTTCAATGCTTGGGAAAGACAGAGAGAAAAGCCCAGGGAGGCCCACCCACTGCAGGTTCCCACTCAGTCCCAGTCCCCTGGCACATACCCAAGGTCTTATCCTTGCTGATCCTCCAGGTCAGGGGCCCCTCGTGGATCATTTTTCTGGTTGTAAGATCCAGGCTCTGTTAAGGAGACACCATTCATTCATTCATTCATTCATTCAAGTGTTTGAGAACCTACTGTGTGCCAGACATTGTGTTAAGGTGCTGGGAATTGGTAAGTAAGAAAAAGTCCTTGCTCTTACTCTCTTGTGGGGGATGAAGAGAAGCAAAAAGGTAACTGTGAAGTCATGTGCCATGTGCCAGCGGGGGGATATACTGATGGCTCTGACTTGGGTCTCCCACCTGCCCCTACCATGTGCCAACTGCAGTCCCAAGAAGATCACACAGTGCTTCTCCTGCCCATGCCTCCAGCTTTATTCCCTCCCAGAAGATCTCCACCTTACCTCCAGTTCTACCCGATCCCCTGCTCTCTCAGGCTGAGTTCCAACATCTAGTCTTTCTTGCGTAGGGCTGTCTACCTTGTCCATCTAGGGACAGGGTGACAATAACAGGGTGTGTGTCTTCTGGGGCTCCATTGTGCCACCCTATCCGGTCTTTGTCTCCTACCTCCAAGACTCTCCAAGCCCTGACCAGAGTTCTGCTCCTAAGGGTGCCCACAAAGTGTGAGGGGTTGACTGTGCTGCAGTCTCTGCCTCCTACCTTGAACTCTGCTGCCAGAGGGTTGCTGGCCCTCTCCAGGGCAGTGGCATCCAGGCGTTTCTGGTAGCCCTCTAAACGGTGGCGGTTCTCTGTTTGCTTTACCGCTTCATTCACATACTTGAGAATCTCCCGGCACTGGTCCCGGGCCCGGCAAAGCTTCTCATGCTCAGAGGTGCCACCTACCAAAATGGACAGAGGAGATGGTTGGGGCTTCTGCCTGAGAAGTCTAACATGGCATCAGCTATTATCTGCCTGAATTCATCCACGGCAACTGGCTTGCTTCAAACCAGCAGGTGTGGGTGGAGGTGAGCCACCCTTGCCTCACACGAGGACCTCAAGTAGTAAGGGTAACTTTTACTGAGCATCTTCAGGTCTCAGACAGACCACTGCTTTGAAGACATTGATAGCTCTTGGGAATTCCTGCCTCTACCACAACCAGCTCTACAGATGCAAGGTACAGAGACTGTGGTAAATGGCCACAATTATGCCACTAGAAGGCCTGTTCAAATCAGATTGGGGTTCCTAACACCTCTCTGTCCTGACTCCAATGTCTGAAATTTGGGGGTAGTGAAAGATACCCAGGATCCCAGGGAGAGTGACAACCTAAAGCTAGACCCTCTTGTACAGTCTGGATGCCAGCCCCTCCCCAGGCGCTACCCTCTGTGTGCTTGATGATGCTCTCCAGCAGCAGTGGGTACTTGGTGAGCCGCTGCATCTCAGAGATGATGAGGTCTCTCAGCTGCAGCCGCCGGCACTGAGGGTGGCTCTCAGCCTCCTAGACAGCAGGAGACATAGAAGGGAGGAGATGTCAGCGTGGCTGGGAGCTGGCTTATGGGCTCAGGGCCAAGATGGGTGTGAACATGACAAACAGGTCCTAACACCAGGTGGATCACTCAGAAATAGTAGTAGAAGCTTCTTCCTTAAAGATGTAGCGAAGGGTTTGTGGTGGCAGGGAGACACCAATCCAAAGGGATATGGTCAAAACAGAAGGGCAGGCATATTGCTGCCATTCCATAGACAAGGAAACTGAGATCCACCTCAGTGCACACAGGTGCTGGTGGGTGAGCCAGGCCTCTGACTGCTAATCCAGGATTCTTTTCCACAAACAAAGGTCTCTTTGTCTAGAGTCAGTCAGTGCTTTTGAGGAGCTCATGCGGAAGGACAGAGGGAGTTGCTGTAGAGAGGGAGGATGTGGCCAGGAGGACAGAAGTTCAGGAGATCCTTGGTGACCCTGATGGAGATGAAGGAAGGCCAAGGCATGGCCAAGGACGCACCTGCATGAAGAGCTGGAATCGACTCTCCTTGCGTTGCTTGGTCTTGATTAGCTCTAGGGCTATTGACTGATAGGAACAGAACTGTGCAGCCACTTGCTGGAGTTCCTCTCGGGCAGGGCCATCAAACTGAAGAGGCAGAATGGACATGGAGCCAGGCATCACACCCCTGCCTGGGACCAGACCCCTGCCTATCCCTTCCTTTGCCAAATTCCCTGGCCTTGGGTAATGAGACCCTGCCTCCCCCAGTCTCCTCCTTGCCAAGAGGGAGAAGTTTGGAGCCATACCCGGGCCAGCATGAGGTCACTGATCTCTTTGATGATGGGGCCTTCCTCCCGGAGCTTCTTCATGGCTTCACACCAGGAATCTGGGGCGAGAAGAGAACAACTCGAAATGCCTGGGGTTGAGCTCAAGTGCCAGAACCTTTCTGACAGAGAGAAACGAATCTCTGACAGCAGTGCCATGGGAAGGGTCTGGAAACTATTTTACTTTCAGGGTGAACTCCAGTGCTGATTTCAGGCTGTCCACAGATCTTTTTCTCACCAGGGATTGGTAGGGGGTTATCTGCTCAGGGAGTTCCTGGCAGTGGGGCCAAAGTGGAACAGGAAGCTGAAGGGAGGCAGAGGAGGAGTCTGGAAGGGCACAGGCTCCTTACTGTGAATCTCTATGAGTTCAGGCAGGTTCGGGAAGAGCCGGGCCAGCTCCTCCCGGGGCATCAGGTTCTCCTTCTTCATTCGCTGGTAGAAGATCAGGTCCAGGACCCGGAGTGTGCGCAGGTGGGAAGCTTCAGTCACAAACAGCTCTGAGTGGTGGTTGTGACAAGAAGGGTAGAAAGCCAGGGAGAAAATGGATCAGCAAGTATCTAGAGTCCCCGCCTGGTTCCCACACCACTCTAATTTTGGGGGAGCTTGAAGTGCTGGTTTCAGATCATACAGCAACTTTTCTCTTACCCCAAGGGCCAGAACTGAGGGGGACCTATAGCAACAGGCAACATGGACCTGCTCCAGCAGACAGGGGCCCCCCACCCTATTAACCTCTTTCCCACCCTTGTGTCTTAGGCATCCTGGACCCATTCCCACATGTGTGAGCGAAGCTGGCGGCAGTGGAGCACGTTCTCACCATTTATGACCTCTTGCCGGTCGATCTCCCTCTGGGTTAGCCCAGCCACCACATCCTTGCCCACTGTATGCTGCCAATTTTGGGCATCTGGCTCTGGTTCCAGGTCAGACAGCTGGCCCAGATCATCCTCTAGGAGGTGGGGAAGGAGGGCATCCGTGCAGAACCCCAAACTGGGGGACTCAATGCTCCTGGGGGATAACAGGCAGCTCAGCTTCACTCAGGAGGAAGAACTCACATGGAGGGTTTGGCCCTCCCTCTTCTGCCTGACCTGCTTGCCCCATGCACACGGGAAACCAGCGGGCCCAGAAGAGGAGACACCCACCCAACCAGCCCCTTGCGGGTGAGAGGAGCGGCTGGATGTGGATGGGACACACAGACACCAAACAGAGGCACCACTGTGCCCATCACTTACCTGCGGCCCATTTTGGGAGTGAAGGGAGGGGTTGGGTTCTCAAGAGACCTGTGGAGGGAATGTCAACTCTCAGCAACCCTCTATCCTTGCGCCCACTCCCGAGATGGCCATGGGTGCAGCCACTGTAGCCCTGCCTACCTGGTGGAGAGGCTGGAGGCAGAGGACGAGGCTGACTGGTGCAGGCGAGTAGCCTCCGCAGCAGCATCCATGTCAACATCACTGCGAGAGCGGGGCACGTTCTCCGCCTTTCGAGACCGTTTCATCTCTTCCCGGCCCTTGAGGCTTTCAGAGCGGCCCAGGCGAATCTCTGAGCGTGAACTGGGGGAAGGGACAAGAGACTTTGGGACTTGGGAAGTCAGTGGGCCATGCTACATCCTGGCCAGCTCTTACCTGCGACTCCATTTCGAGGATGCCTCCATGCCACAGGTTCTCCCCTTGAACATGGCCAAAGCACCTGGATGGCAGTGGAAGCTTCTCAGTGATAGACCATTTTTGCTGCTCTACAAACTCCTCTCTCCTCAGCCTAGCCTGATGGATGGAGAGTCATCTGCCTCTGGAGTTACTAGGAAGGGATCCCAACAGGAAGATTAAATCTGGGGCTAAAGGAATCCGAATTATAGTGTGTCTACAGGCCTGAGACACCATGCTCCTGTCAAGGAGGTGGTAGACATCATCGTCCCTCATCAGGGACCACAAGGTCCCAGCTCCCTGCCCATGGGACCATCTAGTGGCCAGTCCATGTTGCCCTGCTTTGGAGTGGGTCAGCTGCCGCCTTTAACTCTGCTTGAGGCGGACCTCTTTGAAGAAGTCTTAAGAGGACAGTAGAGTCGCTACATTCACAGCTCATTTTAGGATTTTCCACACGGCCTGTCAGAAAGTTCTATCTGCTGCTGGATTCCTAGCCCTCCAGTTGTGATGCGATGAGTTCCATTCTTATCTTAACAGTACCGTTCCTAAGATTCCGTTTCCTCTCAGGAGCAGACAGGCTTGTGCTTACAGGGGCCTTTTTACTGACAGGCAGGACCCGCTCCTTGGCCTGCCATGCTTGGCTACTGAGTGTCTCTGGGGTTTGATGAGATGCTGATGACTGGGTGTTGCAGTCGAGTCCTGCCGTGCATCAGCCTGAGACAGCTGGCACCTCTGACCCCTAGCTGCCCCAGGATGGTCCCCCCACCTCCATGCTGTGGCCCTGCTGGGCTGCTTTTCTGATATTATTAGTAATCTACATCCTGCTCTGCTTCTAGGACCACAGGAGGCCTGAAAATGTCTGCAGAGCTCTTAATAGCACAGCAGGTTGCCGCAACGAGGAGCTAAATGTCTCAGTCTCCATTCATCGTGCCCAAACCGCCGGATGATCCAAAATGGAGCTCATCTCCTAGGGTCCTGAGGGTTTCATCTGCAGGGTTAGAAAACGTACTGCCCACTGATCCCTTACTGAATTCACCCCCCAGAATTCTGCTAGAACAATCCCAACCCAGACTAACTCAGAACACTTTTCAGTGTCCTAATGGGTCACTGTACCAGCACAATAAATACCCAGTAGAGCTACTGGGGCTGCAGAGCTAAGCGCCTTCCTTCACGCACCCAGAAGTAAGTAATGCTCCCACCAAGAAGTGAGGCATATCATCTAGCTTTGCCCCCAAATTCCTAGGGTACTGCCTTCTGGAACTGGGGCATCTTATACCTGTTAAGTATCTACAACAATCTCTGACCCACCATACTGCTAATACTGTTTCTTCTGAGATTGCCAATGAGTTTATAATCATCAAATCCAAAGGTTTCTGCTTAGAGTAGCTTTAGGATCCTAGTGAGTGTCTTAGGGCAAATTTACCTAGCAATGCCAAGAATGCAAGTTTGTAAATGGTCTCAAATATTTTCTCAAAATGTTGATGTCTTATAATCTTAAAATATTTGATTTATCTACGACATCATTGCTACCACAGGAATCACATAATGTGCATATTTAACTTACCCATTAATGTTAGAACTCAACCTTCCCCCAGTACAAATCTAACCTTTATCTCCTGTAAATCTGTCAATTCTCATGGCAGCAAAATCTTTTGACACGTGTTAAGCTGAAAAAAGGCTTCATATAAACAGAAAGGAGTAACCTGCATTCAAGCAGGAAAGCTTGGCTTATGGTTTGACAATTAGTTATTTCAAAGGCAAAATAGGCCAGGGGCAGTGGCTCATGCCTATAATCTGAGCACTTTGGGAGGCTGAGGAGGAAGATTGCTGTGGTTGGGAGTTCCAGACCAAGCTGGGCAACATAGTGAGACTGTCTCAAAAAAAATAAAAATAAAAATAAATTAGCCAGGTGCAGTGGTGCATGCCTGTACCCCTAGTTACTCAGGAGGCTGAGGTGGGAGATCTCTTGAACCCAGGAGGTTGAGGCTGCAGTGAGCTATGGTTGTACCACTGTACTCCAGCCTGGGTGACAGAGCAAGACCCTGTCTCTTAAAAAAAAAAAAAATCCCCCAAACAAACAAGCAAAGGCAAAATGGCTTGAATATCCACACTGCTTCACACTGACTTGCTTTCATGCCTGCCTGTACTCCAGCTCAATGCTCTGAGGCTTGAGTGTCCGCAAGAATTATTTCCCCCTGCACAAGACCACATTACTATACCTGTTTAAGTCACCTTTAAGGGTGGCAGGAATACTTGTGACTACCTGCATGTGATTTGAAGTGCTGGCTATAGAGTTTTAGACATGACTTGACTGCTGCCATGTCACGATCAAGAGCAACTAAGTCCAAGAACATGTTTTCATACCAGATGAGGACTCTAGTGAGAACCTGACCAAAGAAGAATGAGAGAGATGCCAGTCTCAATTCCCTTTTTTCTTCTTGAAAAGGGAAAAGCAGTTCATTTGTAATCAATCCACTTTGCCTCTCTTTGCTGAGGTGGACATCTGATGCCTAGAGTTACATCACTTGTCTTTAAAGTACCCAGCAGAACCTCATCTCTGGCTCTCTTCTTCACATACAGACACGAAACGACTTCCTTTTGCCTGCCTGGGTCTTTTTTCCCCAGGACCCCTCTTGCGCCCACTATAGTCTTCCTTATCCTTGTCACTTAGGGTTTCCTGATTGGCCTCTTTATATCATCCAGCTCGATCTTGGATGAAGGCTACTGAGTAGTCAGGTGATAAATCCAAAGGGAATTTGAAAAGTGTGTAGTTCTTGGGATGGAAGTCAGGGATTTGTTTGCTCTTCCACTGGCTTTTTCACCAGCACACAATGTGTCTCCTGAAGATACTGGGGGTGGGGAGGAAGTTCTGTAGATGGAGCCTTAGAAGCTAGTGGAGGGGGGTAAAGTAGCTGGAATTAAACCCCAGCATCAGCCCTGCCCATGCCCCACTCTTCAAGCAGCTAGTGAGTCCCATCCAGCCACTGCTACCTGTCACTCTCCAGCAGGTCCTCAGGAAAACTTCCGGTCGAGAGTCGCTGTGTCCCAGGTTCTGGGGCGTCATACTGCTGGTTGTTCTCAAAGTGCTGAATGATGTTCCTCACATTGCCTGGTTTGACTAGAAGCAAAAAGAAAATGAAGGACATTAGGCTTGCTGTTCAGGGACGGCTTCTCAGGCCCAGACTTCCCCAGATCCCCGAAGACAGAGCAATGAGCAAGCGTGGATGAGAACAGCACTGGACCAAGAGTCAGGAGATGTCTGGTCCTGGCTCTTCTATGAATACGTTTTGTGGCCCTGGGAAGTCACACTATCTTTCTGGGTTTATTCTTCCCTCGTGCACAAAATGAGAGGGTTTGGAAGTATATTTTCCATAAGCGTTCTTTTGGCCCTCACATTCTTCTGCTTGAAAGTCATGATCAGTAGCCAGGAATACCAAAGCACATCTACATGTAATTTGCCCATGTTGCCAAAATATATTAGGCATTTCTCAAATTTACATGAATTTTTCGTTTTTCTCTGCCTCTCCTTCCTGTCCTTTCTGCCCTTCTCTGGCCTCCATCACTACAGAATCAGACTCTTTAGTACTGTAAGAGATGACCTAGGAGGAACAGAGGAGAGACTTCACTGGCATTCAAATTCCAGCCCCCTTTCAAAGCTAAGACACAAGAGAGCTGTTCTGGTTCAGACAAACAGAGAGGGCAGATGGGGAGTGAAAAGGCACAGGTAATGCCAACTACAGCCCCTGGGGAACTCAGATCCAGAGTTCCGTGGCTCTCAGCAGGAGGGAAGAGAGATAAAGGGTTCACCTTCAAGTCAACTAGCTCAGTTCTGAGCCCAGCGATATTAGAACAGGGGTGGGCTAGGAATGCTGGCTGCCTGAGACCAGTGGAAAGGACAAGGGGAAATGGGGAGGCAATATCAACAGCCCAGGGTCTGGGCCCTGATCCTACTTCAGAGATTCTGACATCTACATATACAAACTTACAAATCTGTCTCAAAATCTGACTTCCATAAGAAAACTTATAAGTCCGAGAGAACAGAAAAAAATTTAGCTGCTGTCTTCAAAGTTTACAATTCCACAGCCTTTAGGCAAGTGGCTTGGGAATATTTTTCTAAAATTGTGCAAGTGGCTGTGGGTGCACATTACAGGAGTAGGGGCTATTACCATCACTCTCACTTTGGAGATTAAGAGCAGATCTGCCTGTCCCAGCCTGAATGTGCATCTGGGTCTTGAAACCATGCAGATGCCAGGGTCAGCTGTGCAGCCGCAGCCCTGAGCCGCCCTGGCTGGGTGATGATGTGGGAGCCTGGGAACATCCTATAACTGAAAGCCAGCAGGCTGAGTCCACTCTTCCCTTTCCCATGGGCCACTTGGAAAATGCTCAATTATGTTCTAGGTAGAGTTACACCTTAGCTGTGGTAAAATACAGGCGTAGCCCTGAGAGCTGGTATAACCGAATGACCCAGAGTAACAGGGGAAAAACAGGTAGAAGGAAATGGATTTTTAAAAAGAGCAAAGTGGCTAGGCACACAGTGCCTCATGCTTATAATCTCAGCATTTTCAGAGGCCAAGGCAGGAGGATCGCTTGAGCCCAGGAGTTTGAGACCAGACTGGGCAATACAGTGAGACCCTCTCTCTACAAAAAATAAATTACCCAGGTGTGGTGATGTACGTCTGTGGCCCCAGCTACTTGGAAGTCTGAGGTGGGAGCACTGTTTGAGCCAGGAGTTCAAGGCTGTAGTAAGCTATGACTAGACCACTGCACTCCAGCCTGGGTGACAGCCTGTCTCAAAAAAAAAAAAAAAAAAAAAAAAAACCAACCAAAAAACCTGAGGACTGGATTTCAATGCCATTCTTTATTTCCCCTTGTTTTATAAACTTTTTTTTTCATTAATTCCTTATTTTTATTGCTTAAAATGGCATACAGTCTAGCAGTTTAGTAACTTTTAAATTAATTTTGAAGATAATATTTTTAATTTTCACTTTTATGTAAAATAAATTACACTAACAGAATAGTTTCCAGATTGCATCCCATTGCTATCTCACTATCTCTCTCTATATATTTATTGTTGAACCTACAAAGTGTTAATCAATTGCATGCATATGGACCTTATTAACAGGAAATGAACTTGCTCAATTCTGTGACATTTCACTGTAGGCTCTAAACTTCTTATGGATTAATGTGTATCACATTAATGTTTTAAATATACGGATTCTGGAAGATACTAGGTCCTCTAAAATACATTTAGGGTCATTCTTTTTTCACTGCTGTGGTTATACAGTGCTGGTGGTTAAACGTCAAAAGAGATGGAGGTGCTATACTGAGGGGCTTAAGTAGATGATACAAACAAAAATACCCAAGAGAAAAACTGTTAGAGACCCATACTTCAAATTAAAAAAAAATCACCTTCGAAAATGATATTTTTATTATTTTAACTGAAAACAAAAATCTGAGGCACTGACTGGGTGCGGTGGCTCATGCCTATAATCCCAGCACTCTCGGAGGCCAAGGCGGGCAGATCACCTGAGGTCAGGAGTTTGAGACCAGCCTGGCCAATATGCTGAAACCCCATCTCTACTAAAAATACAAAAATTAACTGGGTATAGTGGCACATGCCTGTAGTCCCAGCTACTCGGGAGGCTGAGGCACGAGAATCCCTTGAACCTGGGAGGCGGAGTTTGCAGTGAGGCAAGATCACGCCACTGCATTCCAGCCTGGGCGACAGAGCCAGCCCTTGTCTCAAAAAAAAAAAAAAAAAAATCTGAGGCACTTCTGCTTCACTGCAAGACCCTTCAATGTGTGAGGGTTCCCCTCACTTATATAGAACTCTGGATTTTTGGAAACTCATCATGGAGATGTGACTGAATTATAGAGAAAAGGCCTCAGGCTGTGGAAAAACCGCCAGAGGAACCAGAAGTCTAGTCTTGGTCAGAACTACCAGAAGGCGCTGTCCCTGCGGGAGTAGGAGCTCTGCCCCCTGGAACTCTGGGTTAGGAGACAAGGTCTCGTACCTGGCATGAGGGTGGTGCCCTCCCCAACCACCCACAGGGTTTGCAGCACACAGCAGCTTTAGCAACAATGAGCAACACATAAGAGAAATGGAGAGAAGAAAGAAAGGGAGGGAGAAGGAACAGGATGGGAGATGGTGAGAAAGAAACAGAAAAGACAAGATTTGGGAGATGGAAACTCAATGCTAATGCAAAGACAAACCCAAAGAAAATGGTCCTTTTACCTTCCACAGGGGACAAGGGAATATGAAATGCTAAAAGAAAAACAAACAAAAACAAAAGTAAACCATGAAAAGTCAAATCAATGTTTTAAGAATCAAAATAAAAATTACATCAAGCCAGAAAATGAAATGGTAGCGGTGAAAACCAAGGCTGATCTAGAAGAATCCCTTTCCCTCTCCTGTAATGCAGCAATTTCAGAAAGGGCAGCCGGCCTACCCCACTACCCCTCACAGATTCCCATTGATATTGGGGGGCTTAAGGTACTGACTGGGAGGGGACAGCAACAATTTCCAGACAAATGACACACACTGGGAAGAGATCAATGATAGGATCAGTTGAGTTTTGGGTTACTGATGGCATTAGGGGAAACTCTGGGACCCAAACTTGCCCCCAACCTGACTAGTTCTACTCAATAGTGACTCAACCATGCCCCTCCCACATCTGTACTATTGCAGTCCTGTGTGCTGGGACCAATTATAGACCCTTGGATGAAGGTGAAGGGAGTATTTACTGTCCACAGGGCGATCCTTGCCAAGGGGAAATGTTTCTCACGTGGTCGTTTGGTAGCTAGAACTGCTCTGGGTTCCTAGACTAAGACCCAGAGACCGGTACGGTTTCCTTGGCTCAGAAATATTCACCTGAACCTCAGAGATCCTGCACTGGATTTGGCAAGGGAAGAGAAAGTGGCTGTGGTCTGAGTTTGGGTCTGTGGTTCCCAGAAACACAGGAAGGCCCTCTGCCAACATACTGGTACATGAAAGGGCTGAGGTCCCTGCCCAAGGAATGCCCAAGGCTGTTGCTCCCCAAATACTCACTGCTTTGAGAAGAGCTTTTGGGCTTCCCAATGTATTTGAGGATGGGGTTTCGCTTCTTGTCCTCCAAGGCATCCTTTTCTTTCTTGGAATTGCTGCTCTGCTGAGACAGGAGACACTGAGGTTTGGAGGAGGCCCTGATACTCAGGCATGGCTGCTAATCAATTCTGCCACTGTCCCCCAAGGCTGGCCCTCAGCAAGTAACTAGAGAGTTGACTCTTGCTGGTACCCTAACAAGCATTCACCTCTGACCTGGGTTTGGAAGGGACTGAGAGCTGCTCTAGTCTGGGGGTTCTCACTGAGTCCACATCCAGGTGGAGGGATGTAGCCAGAGACCTGCAAAATGGCTTTCCTGACCTACCTCAGCACAGAGAACTGCACCAAGAGGAGATATTTTCCAGGACAGCTGTTACCTTCTTTTTATTTTTTTTGAGACAGAGTCTCAGTCTATTGCCTAGGCTGGAGTGCAGTGGTATGATCTTGGCTCACTGCAACCTCCAATTCTTGGGTTCAAGCAATACTCGTGCCTCAGCCTCCCGAGCAGCTGGGGTTAAGGCATGCACCACTACGCCGGACTAATTTTTGTATTTTAGTAGAGATGGGGTTTCACCATGTTGCCCAGGCTGGTCTCGAACTCCTGAGCTCAGGCAATCATCCGCTTTGGCATCCCAAAGTACTAGGATTACAGGCATGAGCCACCATGCCTGGCCCTCACCTTCTTGGTCTTAGGGAAGAAGGGTAGCCACTTGTCCTTGTCAGGAGCAGACTGGGCCTTTTCAGCTGTGTTGGAAGGTCGTGCCTCTCGAAGACGGATCCCAGCATGGCTCATGTAGGTATTGAGGGCAAAGTCCATGGGGGCGCTGTAAAAGAGGAACAGTGTCCTGAATCAGAGAGCTCAAGTTATCTTCCCTGTGCCAAACAATCTCTTCACCACCACCCAGTGGAGTGGGGAAGGGGTAGTTACAGGTGAAAGTATTCAAAGAAAAGTCTAAAATAATTAAATGGGACAGCAGGCAGAAGCTGGCCAAAAGCTGGACTATGACCTTCTCCACACAGTGAGCCCACAGGTAACCAAGAATAAGACTTCTCCCGGGAGAAAGTCTTACTCTTTCCCTAAGCAGAACTCTTCCCCATGAGCAGATGATGGTCAGTGGAAGAACACGCCAATTCCCTAAAATGTAAGTAAATCATTTCCTGCCTGGTCAAGACACAGGCAGACGTGGAAGACCAGCTGAGGTCTGCAGCTGATACTCTCAGGCATATATGCAGGGTGGGGAGGCCAGGGGAAAGGAGAAATGCCAGCAGCCTCTGCCAAGGTATACTGCCTTCACCATCCTCCCACCCCAGTACAGAGAAAAAGAGATGCACAAGGAGCTGTCAAGTGGCTTCCAACTGCCACAAATGAAAATGTCCAGACTTCTGCTTAAAAATGTCTTTGTATCCACAATTTGCTGGATGGATGATGACCCACTCTGCATTCAATGCAGCAAGGCTTTAGCTCTGTCTGTATTTCCCTGTGAAACAGACTCCTCACCCTATTTTCTCTTCCTTATTAGTGTGTATGCTCAGGGAATGCAGACTCATTTTAATCTTGGCTAATGAAAAACAATGAGATAAATATATAGGCTGCAAAAAAAAAAAAAAATTCTAATATGTGCCAAGAAAGGAACTGTGCTGCACACCAGCTCTCCTCTGCAGATGCCACTAACAGGCTGATTCCACAATTACTGTCACTACTTTAGGTAGTTTAAGGGAAAGAAGTGAGAAGGGAGACAAAGAGCTCATCTGGGTAGAGAAGCTGCAGCCAGGCATGGCACTGTGAGGAGCAATGGCAGCTTGGCGTCTTCCCACTGAGGAACAGATCCACATCCCCAGGGGTGATTCCTAAGCATCAGGGGCGTGGGCCTCATGAACCCTATGTTACGGTCACATAGACACCCGAGAGCTAGACTTGCAGGAACCACGGTCCTACGTGGTTGTACAACATGAGGGACTCCCCTGTGATTGTCAGAAATGGAAAGCATAGTAGCTCATCCCCACTCCTTCCACCTTGAAAGCTGCAAATGCACATCATAGACTTGCTTACCTCCTATCTTCCTCATACTTGGACCTGGAATGAAAGAAAAAACAGATGACTCAGACTGCAAAGACAGAGGCTGGTCACCTGGTTAGAGGCTAGGAGGAGGGTAACTTTTTCCTAGATGAAAGGAGGGTTAGTGGGGGAAAAGGAGAGAAGTACGTTTGATGCACAAGTATTTGGTACATAGCAGGAACTCCATAAATATTTGCCGAGTTGAAATATCAGCCTCAGCAGAGACTGCATAGGTTTCATCTTCTTTGCTATTTTTACCCTGTCCTTGAAGTGCCCGGCTGTGCCTATGGATCTGACTTATATGGAATGGCTTAACCAAGGTCACATAGCTACTTAGTAAGAAGCAGTATTAGGGAAAAAAATTACTTCTAAGCCTGAAGTGTCCCCACAAAGTCTGTGATACTGGGGCTTTCATCACAGGTGCCTACGACACTTTTGAAAATGGCGTTAGAAAAACATAACAAAAGCAGCTGTGCCAGAAGCGCCTTAATATGTTGCGCTAGTTCAGTTTTCTGATGTGGATCAGTAAAAGACGTTTCAATTTCCCCTAAGCCAGTTCTAGCTGCCTCCTGAAGGAACTTTATCCACTGGGCACACACAGCACTGGCCTCACTCTCTGTGACAGATAAGATCTTAGAGGCAGGAAGGGAGAGAGGTCAGGAAGCGGGCCAGCAGGGGAAAGCAGAAAGCTTACCACATTCCTGGGGCCCATGGTCTGTCATAACCACCAAATGACTATCAGGAGCTGCAGGCTCTGCCACGCCCTTGAACACCTGCAGCCCTCAGCCTGACCAATGCAGCAGGAGGGCACGACTCCCCATCTTTCAGGGGCAGGAGAATCAGGCAAGAAGTGGAAGAGGGGGAGAGATTGAAAGAACAGACCCACAAAATATGTCAACCTGCTTGGGACGTTCAGTGGGGTGGGAGGAAGCTGAAAGACTCACAAAATATCTCCAAGGGCAGCCAGCTGCTTCTCAGCCACTTGGCGCTCTCGGAGAGGGTCCCCATCCAGGTCCAGCAGGTCATTTTCACCATACAGGCTGCCCAGCCCCAGAGTGCGCTTCGTTCTAAGCCAGATAAACACAGGGAAAGAAAGAAATATACACAAATACTCAACAGATGGATACCCAGAAAGAACGAGGCAAACATATAACAAGAGATATGTGCACGTCCCAGAGGGAAGGAGCCAAGGACAAGAGGCAGAGGTGCAAGGAGAGTGGTGGGAGGGCAGCTCCTGGGCCAACCTGTAGTCGTGGATCTGCTCTTGGATCTCAGGCATGGCTGCCTCTTGAGCTTCACAGAGAACACCACGGGCATCCTCGCTGTTCCGCAGGCGCGAGTCTGTAGTGGGAGACCAGAGAAAGCAGAGTGGGTAGGGTACTGGGGGTGGGGGCAGATCACTTCTGCTGAGCATCTCAAGGCATTTCAACTCCCTGTGACACTGGGAGGAAGGGCTGGCTTTCTGCCCTGTTAGCCTAAAGGGAGAGAAGGCCTGGACTCTCAGGTCTTTCCTGAATTCAGGACTGGAATCCTGATACCCAAAGTACAAGGCAAGGACAAAAATATTTTCTGGATGTTCTGTGCTCCATTAAGAGAAGGATTAAAGCCCCTCTTACTGGATGGGTCTAAGTCCCATCCTCTGACATCCAAGTGCAGATCTCTGAGAGGCTTGTTCCCCTCTACTGCTCCAGAAGCAGCTCAAGGCTAAAAGAGGCAAGCACTTCACATTCCATGAAACCTGAGCTCCCCAGTAGAAACTGAAAGATGTCTCTCCTCTAGTCCCCGCATCTAGCTCCACCCAGGCGAGGCTAAGTCCCTGAGAGTTGCGCTTTACTCTCACTCTGCTTTCGAGCAAGCTCTGTTCACCCTATGCCTGGGCTCTCCTCCCCGTCACACGTGCCCACAAATCATCTCTGTCTACATGCAGCTTCCAATTCCTGTCCTCTAAAAAACTGCCAGTGATTAGCTTCTCAGGCTGACATCACCTTAGACTGCCTCCCCTTAATTTTTCTACTGATGATTAGAAGGAGAAGGGAGCTGGGCACCATCTAGCCTGCCTGGTCCTCATTCTGGACTCGTTGCTGTCAGTATTAGGGAACTTACAAAAACAAAAATAAAACACCTCCCGCACCCCCCCCCTCAAAAAAAAAAAAACCCAACAAGAAAAACCACTCTGGAGATTCCAACTCTGAAAGGAGGATGGAGTGAGGCCCTAGTTTCTGTATTTTTTGAGTTCCCCAAGGGATTCTTGATAACCAGCCTGGCTGAGGAATCCCTGATCAAGTCTGATTTCCTCTTTGTACAGATAAGCCAATGGAGAACCAGAGAGATCATGTAGAAGGCTGGCAGACATGAACCCAGGTCTCCTAACTCCAAGTCCAATGTCTTCCCACGACAAGCTCCTCCCCGGCAGAGTGAGTGCCCAGGCAGGGTCTGTCCCATATGCACCTGTCCATAAGCTACTGTGCAGTGCTCTGGAGCAACCGTCTCATGGGTCTTTTCCTCTATTGAGGATGGTTGCCCAAGGACAGGAACTATGTCCCTTCTGTCCTCTGGAGTCTCCTGAGAGCTCAGGACAAGAAAGGCACCAAGAAGAGACTAACCGACCAATGAGCCAACTTACCAATTTCAGCCTGTAACATCTCAGGGATCTTGACTCTCAGAGGCTAAAAAACAGAAGTGTGGAGCAGAAGTGGTCAGGTCTGCACACTCCAGGGAGATCAACAGTGTGCCAGGCGAGGAGGGCTTGCCCATATGAACTTCTTGCCTTTCTGCCTACATCTGCCCTACCATTCTTCTCATTACTCCCCAACTGCACACCTGAATTCTAGGCTAGGGTTTCTGGGAAATGGAGTCTGAGGCTACACAGAAAGCTGGTACAATATTCTGAGGGCGGCACAGGCAGTTTTTTCACTCTTATTTCCAGGCCATGAGAGTGCATGGAATGGCATGTTGTCCAAAAAGTGGACCCGTGCTGACTTAGCAGCAAGGGAAAAGCCTTTATTGGGCTATTTGGTGGACTTTCCCTCCCCCTCACTCCCATGGGAAAGCTAGCCTTGTGTCACCCAGCCTTGCAGTTAGCATGGTGTTCTGGCTTTTGCTACACAAGTCCCTGACACCTGGATACTGGAGAGGTTCCATAACAACCAACAGAGAACAACTGGCAGCTCTAACCTCCCTACTCAAGACCCACTTAAGAGGGCAAATATAAAACTCTTAAGAAAAACCAATTTTCTCCAACCTCATTAACCCTACTAGCTTACTGCCAAAAGAATAAAGTCACCTTGGAATTAGTCTAGTTGACCAGATTAGAAAGTCTAGGATAGCAGTTGCCCTCTGCAGGCAGAGATGCTCTTGCCAGCGGGATCCCTGACACACCCCTGGGAACTCTGTCCCAGTGCACAGGGTGCCGTCTACCCCAGACACTCTGGGGCCTCCCACCTCTGACTCCTGCCTTTGGGCAGTAATAACAACTCAGACTGAGCTTCAGAAACCTCTTGCCTCACTGATCTAGACCATCTGATGTCTCTAGACCTCTGTTTCTTCAGCCTAGGGATGGGCAAAGCAGGGAGGGTTGCGGGGAACCAGGGCACTGAATCAGGGAGAATTTGGTACAATCTTTTCCTCTAAACATTCCAGGGAGAGGCAATGTGTATTCTATATGTGCAACAAAAGAGGTACTGTGAGATTTTTTGAGAGTAGCACTAGGAACAGAACCCAGGGATATTAATCTCTCAGCCTAGATTTCTCTTTAAGAACCTGTGTCCCTAGATTTCTCTTTAAGAACCTGTGTCCATGTGGCCTGAATGTTTTGCTTAATTTTCCCTGCCTCTGAGTAGTTCAAAGAATATAATAAAATTATAATCCAATCTATGACTGCCTTACCGCATTTTTCTCCAGGAAAATATTCCAGATGTCTTTCCCCAGGTTTCGGGAATCCTTGGGGCTTGTCTGCTGATAAACTTCTGCACATAGGTAAAAAAGCTAGAAGGAGAGATAACCGGGTTAGAGCAGTGGTTCTCCCCCAGCAGTGATTCTGCCCCCTAGGGGACATTTGGCCCTATCTGGAGACATTTTTAGTTGTCACGACTGGGCAAGTGTGGTGCTACTGGCATCTAGTGGGTATAGCCCAGTGATGCAGCCATATTTCCCCAAAGGCACAGAACAGTCTACCACAACAAAGAATTCTCCAGTTCAAAACAGTGCTGAGGTTGAGAAAGCCGGGGTCAAACTATTTCAGAAACCTGTGGCAAAATAATCCCCACCCCCTTTCCCACAGGCACATCTTCAACACTGATCACTCCTCAACTCTGTATCCTCTCCACACGTGGTATTTCACTTGTGTCTCTGTGCTGGTTTATGTCTTGTTTCTTAAGGATTCATGTTTTATTTCTCTTTGTGGTGTGCCCTGTCTTTATTCCGGAATGCTTCTGGCCCTTGGACTTGCACACAGGTGTTCAATCAATACCTGTGGATGGTTGTTCATTCTGGCTTCTGATGGTGTCCCCAGAAAGACAAAACAGCAGCCCATGCCCCAGGTGAGAAGTTTATTCTGAAGAACACAACCGCAACCCCTCTCCTCCATCTCCCCTTCCTTTCTAAGCAGCTGAGCAGAATGAGGAAACTGGGAAGGCTGCTGGCTCTGAATACTGTCCCCGGTACTTTGTTCTCCATCCCCTCACATTCCTTCTTGTCATCACCTTCACACGGAACACCCTTTAAGCCTTGCCATCTGCAAGTTTTCTCACAGGGCCACTCTCTCAACTCCCTAGTTGGTCTGTATCTACCTTCAATTAAAAACCTCTAGGAAGAGCAACTTCTCCAAGACGATTTCCTGAACTGATCAAGAATGAGTTTTCCTGGCCTTGCTCTCTTGCTCCTCCCTAGGCAGCTGATGTAGTTAGTTAGCTGCATCATACAGTGAAAAATCCCCTCTGCATAGGTTTCATCTTCTTGGCTATTTGTCTCTGTCCCTGAAGTGCCTGACTGTGCCCATGGATCTGAATTGTAACAGCCAGAGAGCAGAAACAGAGGCTAGAGGTCCTCTCTGCCCAGCACCAGCAGGCCCTCAATCAAGACGGATGCTTCTGACTTACCAGTGGACTGGGGTCTGCCTGAGAGAAGATGTAACGTAGAAAAACCCCCAGGTGAGCTGGCCGAGACTTCAGTTTCTCCAGATCCTGGAATATGATGTCACTCTGGAAGGCAGAAGGATGAGCATGGTGGGAGGCCGGGCACAGCAGCACAGCAGGTTCCAGCTTAGCTCCCATGTGACTCCCCGTCCTGGGTTCATAAAGGAGACTCCCCGCCCCAAGTTCCCTTCACAGCTGATGCTAGTCAAACTGCTTCTAGTCAAGAGCAGCTTGTATGACAAAAAAATGATGAAAGGAGAAAACTAGGAAACTGTTACCTCGTTGTTGAAATAACCTGGGTCACAGTCTTCCTCTGGGCCAATAATTAAAGGCTTTGGGCTTTGATCTACACCCTGGGGGAGAGAGTCAAGTTGTAGAGATGAGAGGTTATAGAGGACAGAGGATTCAGCCACCTCAGTGAAGTTTGTTTAGTTGCAGCACAGCACTCACAAAGCCACCCGGGTCTGGTGAACGTTGGCATCTCACTCCCGCCCCCAAATCAGAGCACAGATGAAATGATTTCTCCACTTGCAGGAAGTCAACTGCTTCTGGGTGGGGCAGGGCAGATTCAGAGCAGCCTGGTCACATGACATATGAAGATGGGAAGTAGGAGAAAATGCTCTCTTCCTGTTTGCAAAGGTCTGGGGTGGGACTGTCAGTCAACAAAATAAGAGCCTATAGTTCCTGCTGGACTGCTGGGTTGGGGGCTTTGTTTTCCTTAACAGACTAAACAGCCACCCCTACCCCAAACACACATCCTCCAAACCCAGTGTCTACCACAGTGCTACTGAACAGTTATTCTGTGCCTAGTAAGTACTGGTGGCTAAATAATTATGGGAGAGCCTACTAGTAGATCTCTGCCTCTCTGAACAAACGGAGATGCGGCTGATCTTTCTCTAACACCATTTGCATTATTTTGCTTGCCCTCTCAAGAATCTGTGGTAGATCCCCATTACCTGCCTAAAATCCACATTTCTTAGTCTGGCTTTTCTTTCTTTCCCCCTTATACTAATTTAAATAAAAACCTAATCCTAATGGACACGCCATGGATTAGGTATGATGAGAGAGACTTCATATTGCATAAACTTCTCAGATGCTTCATTGCACAAGTTTTTCTCCTAAAGGTTCCTTGAGCTTTCAAAGCTTTTCTGCTAACTCTATTTCTCACTCAATTAGACCTCCTTCATTTCCAGTGATTCCCCAACAAGGTCTCTGCTTCTGGAACCCACTCAACTTACCTGTGCCTACTTTAACCCAGGCCTATGATACCCTCCTAACCCACTTTCTTAAGGGGCTTTTCCTGACAGTTCCTCTCTGATGATCCTCACCCCTTTTTTGTTTTCCTGGATATTTATGGCCTCTATGCCCAGAATGACTGAGTCACAGAACATGAGCGGCCCAGAAGGTATCTCAGAAACTAAAGTCTAACACTCATTTATAATGGAAAAAAGTGAGGCCCTGACAGACTGACTGGCGTGCTCACAGCTGCAGAATCAGGCCTGATGTGCTGTATTTGTATTTCCCAAACACATCCTGAGTATCCTCCTCTCCTAAATACCCTCGTCTCTGAACCTCTTGGGGTCTGAGAGCCCCAGGAGGTGGTGGGTGAGCACTTCTGGCTCTACTGAGCTCTCTGGTGAAACCTGAAAAGCACTAGGTTTTTTCTTGTTTATGGGGAGGATTTTTTTTTAAAAAGTCTTTACAAATACATATTCTTTCTGATTACAAAAGTAGAATATGCTTATTATTAAAAAGATCAAACACTATAGAACAACGTAACAGAAAGTGAGAGTTCCTTATGCATCCATTTCCCTGCTGCTGACAGTTTTATAGAAAGTATAGGTTTTCTTCCTATGCTGTTACTAACATTTATTATGATTAGGAAACTGGAATTATACTCTATTTGCTCTTAACACTTGAAAATAGCAACTTAGTTTCGAGAAGATGAAACAATTTCAAAGAGGAAAACAAGGGCTCCAAGACCACTGACCCCACACCTGCTTCTATGAGCCACCTGAAGGAAAGCCTTTCCTAGAACAGGATAGATGCCTGACCCCCTTAGCAACCTGAACTTGGTCCTTCAGTTCTACAAAGACAGGGTTATAGAGAGGGCAATAAAAGAGTAGTTAGGATAGGAAAGAGCTCTGTGTTGGGGCCCAGGAGAACTCAATTCTAGTTCTGATACCCTGCCAGTGACAAGGTTAGCCCTTGAACATTCCCTTAGACCACAGGAAGATTCCAATGGCCAACTTTTTTCCTGATTGTGAGAATTACATGAAATTTTTTGTAAAGATCTGGCACAGCAGCTGGTACATTAGGCATTTCAATACCCATCAGATCCCTTTCCCTATCTTTCCCCTCCACATTGTAAGAATAACCAAACTTTATACAATGGGTAAAATTAGAGTATCATATGTTGTTGTCTTTTTAAAATCCTATTTTTTTGTGAATTCGGCAGCCCAACCAGAATAAGTTCAGAGAGGCTTGCTCACATGTATTCTTCTTTTGCACAGTAGCTCTTGATTAGAATTTTCCTTTGATGCCTGCATAACTCTAGATTTATAAAAACTATGTTCACTTAGGCCACGATCCTCTTTTCTACAGATCACACTGTGAAACTTCAGCTTCAAGAAACTTAGGAGCTCTGGATAAGTCCTCCCCTAAGATGCCACTCAGAAGACAATTTTGATTACTCCTATTCACTCATTCATTCACTACACATTATGAGGTGGCTACTATGTGCCAGGTTACCTACAGAGATAAAGCAAATAAAGGTGAGGTAAGCCACATAGGGAAATAACAGCAGAGCGATAAATGCTCTAAGAGAAACAAGATGCTGCTTGAAACTCTGAACTCCAAGGTGAGAGGACAAGTTTACTAAAACCACAATGCCACCAAAGAGAGCTCAGCGAGCAGGATTATCATTTGCTCCGTTTTCTTCATTGTACCATTTCTCCCCCTTTATCCAAATTACTTTAGAGACCCCATGTTCTGAAGACCTCCTCGTGGACTCAGTGATTAATAGGCTCCCAGAGTCAAAAGAACTCCAGAAAGTAGCTTTCAAACTTTCTGCTGACCATGACTTCTAATAAATATGTTTTCACTGCAACTCAGCACACACATATGTAATGAAAACAGAAGTTTCACAAAGTTATACTCTTATTACATATGATGAATTCTGATATTTTCTTTTCATGCTATTAGATTCTACCTCATTAAAACAGATGCTGCTCATGACCTTCAATATTGATATCATGACTCACCAAAAGATGACAACCCACAGTTTGAAAATACCACCTGTATAACTCCTGACACCAGTGCTTTCCAGTGTGGGAAGTGGAATTCAAAATGATTTTAAGTGAGATGATTTCTGTTGAGGGTCAAAATGATTTTAGGTGATATCTGGACATGGCATTAAATAATACTGGCTCAGATTGTTTAAGAAAGTTAGTTTCTTTTCAGTTTTCATTCCATCCTTTTGATTCACCCAGGAAAAATTTCAGCCTGGTGCCTGCATAGCTTTAATACCTTTAACCAAGGCAGAATTGGCCTCAAGCTTAATTAAAGCCTTTGGCAAGCAATAGAACTGAGCTAGAGTTTATTTTTCAGGTTGTTTTAAATTTTGTCTCTACATTTTGAGTAAGTTACATCATGTAGTTTACAATTAAAAGGACACAAAGGGGTAAAGATAATAAAAACTCTTCCATCCACTTCATCCTCAAGCCACCTAATTCCCCTCCTCAGAGGCAATAACCATCAGTTTCTTCAACATTCATCCAGAGATGTCTTAAGAAAGAGGCTCCTTTTCCTCTTTTTAATATAAATGGCAGCTTTCTTCTACACTGTTCTATATCTTTCTACGTAGAATTTAACAAACTTGGTTCTAAACTTACATTTAGGGTTACATTTACTCTGCATTTATAGTGTGTGATGCTGGTTTTCATTTCAGGTAATGACAGATTTCCTTAAGATTAATTTAAGTTAAAGAACTGAGTTGGCTTAAAGAAAAATATTAAGTAACATTATACAGGTAGAACATTAAATATTTAGATGTCTAACGTTGTTAGACACGGTTAACAGTGTCTGAAAAACAACAGGCAATCCTCTGGCTCTCAAGTCCATTCCATTGCCAGACAGCCCAGCTTCTTTGCAAACTGTTTGCATTAAGTCAAAACCCGTCTTCCTGAAGTCTCTCCTGGATCTAGCTCTATCCTTGAGATCAGGGCCTTTCAAATCAGGTTTTGCAGAACCTTAGGGCTCCATGGAAGTGCCCTTGAGGGCAGGAGGAGGTTGATCAGTAAAGGTCCTAGGGGAGCTGAGCTTTGTTTTTTTTTTTCTTTTCTATGTTAGGGTTCCAAATAATAAGATTTTGTTTGAGAAAAGGATTTTGCTAAGGAACGGGGAAACTGAAAATTAGCATCCTGGAGAAACACTGCCTAAACCTATTTCCTATTCTGTACAGACAGAAAGACCAGCTATCCACTCCTTAGCTGTTACTCTTTACAGATGCATTCACCTACTCTCCACACAGAAACGGAGCCAGCCTTACTTTTATATCTCTATTTATGCCATGTTCTCTTTCTTTACTATTTGCTCTCTATGTAAGTGACTGTCTCAAAGTTTGGGTTGCTGAAGCAGGGGTTTAGTCTGATGATCCAAGACCATGTATTGGTAACACCCAGGCCTCCAAATCTCACTTCTGAGAAAAGAAAAGGAAAACTGCAGGGTGACTCCGGATCACTCACCTGGTCACCGGTTGAGGGGACTGCTGCATCCGAGCCCTGCCGCCTGTGGTGCTGGGCCACCCTGGCCATGATCACAGGGGAGGTTCGAGGACTGTCTAGCCCAGGGTCTGACAGTATTGAGTTCCGATTCATCAATGACTAGAGAAACGAAGAATTCTGTGAGCAGGAAGACCCTCAAGGTTCAGCTCTTTGGTGTTGGTGGTGATAACCATACTTAAACATCAGCTGAGAGAAGTGCAGTATTTGCTCTGTGCCTGGCATTATACTAAGCCCTTCATTACATATTATCTCATTCGATTCTCACAGTAGCCCTTTGGGGTAGATACTATTATTCGTCCCATTTTCACATGAAGAAACTGAGACTCCAAGAGGTTATGAGACTTGCTAAGTCAGAGAGCTAGTCATGAAGTGTATCCTGGACTTAACCCAGGCAGCCTCAACCCACAGCACACACTCCTCATCACTAACTCCCTGGCCTTCCAGATAACGTCAACTGTAGATTCTTTAGGATCCCCGTCCCACTCTACTTTCTTGGTGACTTTCCCACATACTGATCCTTTCACATATATTTCATCATTTTCCCATGGACAGGGCAGTAAGAAAATAAAATTCCAATTGTTATCTAAAATTAGGTTTTTAACATGTTTTCAATCACATATTCACATATTTAATTACTCTGGCTAAGCAAATATTTTGCTACCTTCATTACTACTTCTTCCACTCATTCTTACTTTTATATTGCAGTTTACAGTTTACATATGCAAACTGAGAACACCTGGAAGAGATAACCTTCGGGGTCAAAACCTGAAATTCGTTTAGTCATTCCAGAAAAGACAAGCTATTTGAGAAGAAAAAGATCCACAGCAAAAAACAGATCACCACTTCTGAGTAGGTTGGGTTCACTGTATTAATCTAAGATGATGTTATTCCTGGACAGGTGGAAATGTGTTTTGGTCAAGTCATTGTTTTAGCTTATTTTGTCTCTGCTCCCTCACTCTCAAAGGCTTGCCATAGTTCATGCCATGGCCATCCTCTCCACCCTACTCTTTATATAACAGAGTTGACTATGATAAAATGAAAGCCAGATTTGATAGTCTTGCATGTTGGATGCATGTGAAATTTCTGCTTTGGGACCCAGAGCACAGTGATTATATCCTTGGAACTAGATGGATGGAAGAGGCACACAGAGTCCTCAGTGCAGCCGGTAGGCAGCAGAGCCTTGGGGCAAGGGAAGGGACCCCAAATGCAAGTTCTGAACGGGCCTTGCCCTGCTGGGACTCACCTCACTGAGGGAAGGAAAGCGTTCTGTCCCAGAGTCCAAGCCACTGTCCCCCTCTTGGGAATCCAGAGAGAGCCGGCCTGAGAAGAAAACAGTTTCTATAATACAGAAGGAGCTGTGGCCTGGGGGAAAGAGAGCCTTTATTCTGGGCAACTGTGCACAGGACAGGAAGGGGAAGCTGCCACCTTTTCTTTCACCAGTTTCCCTTCAGCTCTCTCATCCCATTACCCCTAGACTTGGACACTAAACAGTATACCTCTCCTCTGCTCTCATCACATCTAGCTTTCACCTGTCTCTGCACCTGGGCACAGGCCATGTCACCTCCTGAAATAAGACTCCATACCTCTCTCTCACAACTAGTTTTGCCCCTCAACTCCTTCCCAACCCTCTTCTGGTCACCACCCATTTCTTCTTACAACAAATATTTGCCGAATTCCTTAGTGCCAGGAGCTGTCAGGCAAGCTGCTGTCTGAACCATACTCATTCTGGTATTTTATTGGCCCTCATCTATCCCGGCTACTGGCTATACACTCATTTCTACTGCCTAAGTTGTATCCAGCTTCCCTGTGTATTTGTACTGCTTTCTCCCATTATTCTGTTTCTCAGAGGGCAGGCACTATATATTTTCTTTCCTGGAATCTGCCCCATGGGGAGGGTAAATAGATAAGAAACCTGGACTAGAGATATGCCAGAGAAAAAGGGGGTGATGGGGGACTTACCTTCTGATGGTCTCTGGCTGGTGTCACCATATAGTGGAAGTACGTCCTGAAACAGAAAGGCCCACAGGGTGGGCAAATTCTGTGAGCCTCTCCCCCTACGGTTTCCTTCCACCAATCAGTGCCTTATTTGCTTACAATTAGTGGCCTCTTCTGCTTCATTGCCTCAAAAATGCCCAGCTAGAAGAGATATTGCTTCATTTGTACAGTTTGAGGATGACAATGACCCCTAATGGTGGAAAGGGAGCTTTACCATTAGTGAAATTCTAAAAGCCAGCTTTATCTAATCACCCTGGACCTCAAAGCATCTATTGCCTTATTTGGATACAAGAAAGAACTTCTTAACCATCAAGAAGTATAATAAAAAAAAAAAACTCAAGCAGGTGACCGAGGGAAGATACAAAAGGTTTACCTTTGGAGGTCTTTGAGGAGGATGGACAGGCATTGGCCTGAGACTGACTGAGCTAGTGGGATGTGAAGGAAGCAATATTGATAGTGCTTTGCTGTTTACAAAGTACTTTTCTAAGTCACATTTAATCTTTCAATGGCTCTAGCTTAGGCACATTACTCTCATGTTATAAATGAGGCAACAGAAGCTCAGAGATCTTAAGTAACTTGCCCAAGATACACAGCAGGTCAACCCTAAGGCCAGGGTTGGAGCTCAGACCTTCAGATTCCAAGCTTAGTTTCTCAGACTCATCACCTCATAGCACAACCAACAGTGCAGTGGCGGCAGCAAACATGTACAGCCCCTGTGTCAAAGGTATGCTTTAACTCTGAAAACACTGTTATCTCCATTTTATAAATGAGGAAGCTAAGGCTCCTATGGATTAATTAACTTGCCCAAGAGTCTTTAAGCTGATAAGAAGTGATGCTGGATTTGAATCCAGATGGTCTAAGTCCCCAACCTGAGCTCCTACCTACCAACCGTGTAATATGAGAAGTCCTTCAGAAAATGAAGCAGTTTAAATGTATTTGCCTATGTTTCCCAAACTTTTTTGATCTGGATATCCTAAAAGCAAAAGTAGATCATCTTTAAATAATTCCTATTGGCTCTGGCAAATGTTATCGTTGGAGACCTTAAAGTTTCTGGAGAGTTACTTCTTACTTACCCAAAGAATTAAGGCCTGATGGAGAGCAGTAAGACACTAATAGCCAAGTCCCTGAAGAGAATGGATAAAGAGCCATCTACTCTCTGGAGTTTTTCATAAAATGTGGTTATCTGCTGATACAGATCCATCTCAACTGACTGGGGGTCTTTTATGTAGGCTGACTTTAAAAAGTACTTGTATTTCTTTGAGAAGACTCATTACTTGATGATAGGTGGTGGGAAAGGATACCAGATGAAATAAATACCAGGTAAAACCAGTATAGAAATATACACACATCCACTATGAGGAACTACCTAGAAGGGAAGGATAATTCAGAGACTAACACTGACAGTCTGTTTATTTCATATTTCTTTCTTTCCATTGCCCATGTTGTTGGAGGGCAAGAAACAGACTTTTTCTTTTTATGGTATCCCAAGTGTCACTACAGTGTTCAGCCTCTCTGGTGTTGACCTTGGTTTCTTTGTAAAATACTGAACACTTACTAGTTCAGCCTTGAGGTCCTGGCATAACCCAAGAAGCCTTCTGTCCTTGCTTTTTCTCTCACTCTACCCCCAGTTCCACTGCATGTGCCCTTACTAGAGCTGTGCCTACATCACTCACCACTGAGCCACCAGTCTCCTGCTGGATCTTCAGCTGTAACTGAGTGACTCGCCGCCGGGCACCTTCGATCTGCTCTTCCAGTAGGCTGGCGGGGTTCCGGCTATAGACCTCACAGATACGCTGGGGATGGGTGAGGAGGAGAAGGGGGAGGGGAAAAGGCAGAGGGGTGGTTAGTAGAGAATGGATGACTCACCAGTGGAGAGAATAGGCAGTTATCCCAAAACAAAGAGGATAGAGAAGAAGTCTCTGCCTCCAAGTAGATGCACGCTATTTCAACATCATTTAGGATCAGAAAAAGATGTACGTGATGAGAAAAAGAACACAGGAGACAATCACAGAAAGAGGACAAACACAAAGGCCTGTCCTAATCTGAGCCATTCTTCAAAGTCTGCCTTAAGTCCCACATCCCAAATGAGGCTGCCTTCAGCTACCACTCAAGTATGAAATATTAAAGTGACTGTCTAGACCAGAACATAAAAAAGTGCTGAAGAGGGAACTTACACACAATGAGAACCACAAGAAATGAGAGGAAGCAGTGTCGACTAGAACAGCCAATGCCTCTGCCAGTCCCACCCTCAGGAAGCTCCTGGAGAGCAGGTACCATCCTAGCCACTTTCCTAGCACTCCTCAGGGCACACAGCAGGGGACAGCACAGGGGTGGAGGGCTTCACAGTTAGGGACACCTGGCTTTGAATTCTGGCACCTCCACTTACTAGCTGTATAGACTTGGGCAAGCTTGAATACATCCTCATCGATAAAATGGAGATGACAATACCCGCCTCATGGGACGGGTGTAATAGTGGAGTGAGATTATGTATATGAAGGGCTTAGCAGAATGTTTAGCGCAAAGTCAGACACCTGAATACATGGCAGCTATTAACATTTCATCACAAAAGGAGATGCTCCATAAAGCTTGGTTAAATAAAGACATTGGGTTCACATATTACCTAGGCTCATCTGGGGCTTCACTGCTACCTGACAACCATCTTACGAATTCCCCATATTTAATATTTCATCTTCTCCATGCCCATCCAACTCCAACCCTTCCCTAGCCTTGGCAGGTAATACCATCTGGTAAAAACCTTCTCAACTGTAGTCCATTTCAAAACATCTTCAGCCATCTTTTCTTCCTGGCTCAGAAGAGAAACTAAGTCTAAATCTTTTAAAAAGTTAATCCCTCTGACTGCTTTGGGCTCTTCTTGGGCACTGTTTACATATCTTCAAAGTCTCCTTTTTACCAATGGCTCCTTCTCTCCGTCCTACAAAATGTTCAAGTTTCCTGATTTAAAACAAAAACAAACCACCACAACAAAACTTTTTCAATTATTTCTGATGATTCTTCAAGCCACTGCCCCATTTGTTTCCCCCTCTTTTCACAGCCAATTTTTTTTTCTTTTTTTGTAAAGGGATATGAGCCTGTGGTTTTCTGATTTTATTTTATTTATTTATTTAAATAGACACAGGGGTTTGCTATGTTGCCCAGGGGTCTTGAACTCTTGGCCTAAAAGTTCCTCTGCTTTGGCCTCCCCAAGTGCTGGGATTACAGGCGTGAGCCACCATGCCTGGCCCACAGCCAAAAGTTTCAAAACATTAGTCTACAGCTAGGGCCCTGCACTTCTTTGCTTCTAGTCGCTCATCAACATATACAATCTAGTTTCCTCCCATTACTGCACAGGCTACTCTTCCAAAAATCAAATTTAATAGCAAGTGGTGTGATATTAGAGGTTGGTACCGTGTGCTGTAGAAGCACATATGTCCCAAAAGTCCATCCTCAGCTCTCTCCTCTCTGACTGGTACTCTGGGTGATCTCTTTCAGTCATCCAGTCCCCAGTTTCAACTACCACCTTCATACTGAGGATATCCGAATCTCTATTTCAACTCAGGCTTTTCTCCTAAGTTCAGCCCTGTTATCTCCATATGCCTGGTGGTTGGTTTTTATCTGAATGTCTCATGGGCACCTTACTCGTATACCCAAAGCTGATCTTCATTTCCTTCCCCTCAACTCTGCTCCTCTCCTCTATCTCACTCTGTCACCGGTATCACCTGATCTACCCAGGCACACAAACTTGGAGCCATCTTTTATTCCTTCTTCTCCTTCACCAGTGGATGAGTTCTGCTGATTGGCCCTCTGAGAAGTCTCCCATTGCTATCTCCTCTCCTTTTTGTTCGTACTCCTATCGTTCTTGTTAAATCTGTCATTATTGGTTATCTACTGCAATAGCCTCCTAGATGGTTTCCTTACATTTAACACACTTCTCCAAAGAACACTGGTTTGAAAATGTGATCAGTCCCCCACTCAAAATTCTTTGATTCATTCCCATAGACTTCAAAACAAATTCCAAGCTCCTCATGGTATTCAAGGCCAGTAACACCTTCCAGTCACAACACTCACTGGGTTTTTTTTCTTTTTCTTTTTTTTTTTGAGACAGGGTCTTGCTCTGTCACTCAGGCTGGAGTGCACTGGTGCAATTATAGGTTTGCAGCCTCGAACTCCTGGGCTTAAGTGGTCCTCCTACCTCAGCCTCCTAAGTAGCTAGGACTGCAGGCATGCACCACTATGCCTGGCTAATCTTTAAAATTTTTTTAGAGACATGGTCTGACTGTGCTGCCTGGGTTGGTGTTGAACTCATAGGCTCAAGTAATCTTCCCACTTTGGCTTCCCAAAGTGCTGAGATTACAGACATGAGCCACCACTCCTGGTCCCACTGCCATTTTCAATATTCTATTAACAGGATACTGAAACCAACTCAAGCACCACCTCATGAAGCCTTCTGATTACTGCATAAATAATTATGCTTTGTTTCGGGCTTCAAGAGCATTAAAATTTTTTTTTTGTTATTGAGCTATAATTCACATGACATAAACGTCACCATTTTAAAGTGTACAACTTAGTGGTCTCTAGTATATTCACGGAGTTGTGCAGCCACCCCCACTATCTAATTCCAGAATATTTCCATAACTCCAAAAAGAAAGCTGGTACCTGTAAGCAGTCACCCAATTTCCCCTTCCTTCACCCTCTGGCAACCACTGATCTGCTTTCTGTCCATGAATCTGCATATTCCGGACACTCCATGTAAGTGGAATAATGTGACCTGTAGATTTTTGTGTCTGACCTCTTTCACTTGGCATACTGTTTTCAGGGTTCTTCCATGTTGTAGCATTTATCAGTACTTCTTTCTTTTTTATGGCTGAGTAAAATCCCATTGTATGAACAGACTATATTTTGCTCATCTATTCATCAACGGATGAACATTTGGGTTGTTTCTACTTTCTGGCTATTATTAATAATGCTGGTATGAATGTTCCTGTACAAGTTTTTGTGTGAACCTATGTTCTCAATTCTCTTGGATATACACCTGGGAGTGGAATTGCTGGGTCATATAGTATCACTGTGTTTCACGTTTTGAAGAACGGTCAAACTGTTTTCCAGAGTGCTTGCACTATTTTACACTCCCACCATCAGTGGCAGAATAGATTAGGATAGTGAATATGCAGATAAAACATAAACAAGTATTGTTTAGATTTCTCTCCATCTCACAACGCTTGTTATTTTCCATTATTTTGGTTATTCTAATAGGTGAGAAGTGGTAGGTCATTGTCATTTTGATTAGCATCTCCCTGTGAATAACAATGTTGGGCATCTTCCCATGCTTATTGGCCATTTGTATGTCTGTCTTCTTTAGAGACTGTCTATTCAAATCCTTTGCAAGTTTTTAAATTGGGTTGTCTTTTTATTGTTGAGCTTTTAAGAGTCCTTTATATATTCTGGTATTAGATCCTTATCAGACACATGAATTGTAAGTATTTTCCCCCATTTCTTCTATGGGTTGTCTTTATTTTCTTGATAGAATGCTTTAACACACACAAGTTTTACATTTTGATGAAATCCATCTTTTTTTAGGGGGGGGTTATGCTTTTGGTGTCATATCTAAGAAACCACTGCCCAATCCAAGGTCATGAAGATTTACTACTACCTAAAATTTTTTCTAAGAGTTTTACAGTTTTTAAAAATAGTCTTGGCTCTTACATTTAAGTCTTTGTCCACTTTGAGTTAAATTTTGTTTACTGTGTGAGGTAGGGGTCCAAATTCATTATCTGTATGTAGGTATCCAGTTGTCCCAGCACCATTTGTTGAAAAGACTATTCTTTCTCCATTGAATTGTCTTGGTACCTTTGTTGAAAATTAATTGACCATAGATGTATGGGTTAATTTCTGGAATCTGAATTCTATTCCATTGATCTACAGGTCTATCCTTGAACCAGTACCATACTGTCTTGATTACTCTGACATTTGCCAATATATAAATATAAGCACTTACCATAATATATTATATCTTCATTCATTCATCCATATCCTATGAAATCACTAACTCATTAAAGGAGAGGTTCACCTCTTGTTTATCTTTGTAACCATTCCAACACCCACCCCTAACATTACCCCCATCTACTGCTCCAACACACACACAGTACCTAGCATATAGCAAGGACTCAGTGCTTGTGAAATAAATACATGTATTTTCATATCTTTGTGTCTTTGACCTATGCTGTCTTTTCACTAGCATTCCCTCCCTCATCTCTATTGCCTACTAAAGTATCACTCTTCAAGGCCCAGCTGAAATACTATCCTCTATGTGAAGCCCTTCCCAATGTTTCCCATTATTATTTTTTCTCTTCTTTGTTCTCTTATTGTAAGCTCTTTGTTCCTCCCACTCTCCCTCCTACTGTAATCTGAATTTCCTCCATTGGATTTTAAACATGTTGAGGGCAAGAACCATCTAATCTTTTTTATTTCTATATAGCCTAGAAACTAAAACAATGTTTTATATATGGTGGCACTTACATGGATAACTATAATAGGAATCTGGTTATTCCACTCGAGCAAATTCATCTTCTTACTGTTCTCCGTGCACATCACTTCCTAGGCCCAAAAACTCTCTTCATCCTTCACCCAAGTGCTCCCCACCTCTTTCAGTCTGGTCCAGCACTCACCTACCCAGCCCTTTCTTCCCTCTTTTCCTTCCCTTCCTTGGAAATGTCCCAGATAAACTCCACTGATGTTTTTTTTGTCTACATATTCACTATCTTAATCTATTACACATGGAGAATCCTACTCATTTTATTGGTGAAATTCTGCTTTAACAAATTCTACTGGCCAATGAAAATTCTTTAGTGGTCCGGAAGTTTTATTTTTTGAGGTTTTACTGTGATAGGATATTGCCTGTAATTTAAGTTGTGTACATTGGCAGACTGGTCTGATAAAGTATTATTTCACTCAGGCAATGGCCAGTCTACCCCTGGCAGTGACCTTACCTGTAACTCTTTTTCTTCCTGCCTCAGCATATTCCTGAGGATCTGGGTGGCATGTTTTTGAACTTCAGGATCCTAGAGATGGAAAACATGGCAACATAAGAGTTAGGGACTAACTCAATAGCTTAACTCTCTTCTATCTGCTGATTCTTGGGCAAGGAAAGCTATGAGAGTACAGCCTGGATCATAAGTATGTTTTATTCAGTACCTTGATGGAATGCAGTAAACACAAAATCTTATTTCGAGTTTATGCCTCAATTTCTAGAAACCTTGGCTGTAGTCACCTTTGGTATCAAGTTGCTCCCTAAAGTCTCCCAGGACTTGTGGGTTCAGTCTTCATTCCAACTGAAAAATCCTGTTCCCTATACTTGTCTGCATTTTGTCCCCCTTTAACTCTTCACATAGGTGTTTCTTGCTTCTAGAGTTCTCTTTCTACTTGTTTGTTTGTTTTTTCTTTGAGATGGGGTCTCACTCTGTCACCCAGGCTGCAGTGTATTGGCACAATCACGGCTTACTGCAACCTCTGCCTCCTGGGCTCAAACCACCCTCCTACCTCAGCCTCCTGAGTACCTGGGACCACACATGCATGCCACCATGTCTGGTTAATTTTTTGTATTTTTGGTAGAGACAGGGCTTTGCCATGTAGCCCAGGCTGGTCTCGAATTCCTGAGCTCAAGTGATCCTCCCACCTCAGTCCCGCAAAGTGCTGGGATTACAGGCGTGAGCCACTGCACCTGGCCTCTACTTGTTTTTGTCCTTTTCTGATCCTTCCCTTTACTGAGGGGGCTCTATATTTTGCACTTCGAAGCAGGCTTTTTTCTCTAGAAAGCCTTTCCCCTACCCCTTTACTTTGTACCAAACCCTGGTTAACACTGACTGGCAACGGTCTTGAACAGATGCATTCTGTCCCTGCCTGAAGTGTACACTCTTTTTCCGATGAGGAGCACTTTTGGACGGCATCCTTAGAGCCTTCTACACATTTAGGAAACAAACAATGTTACTGTGTGATAAAACCTCATATGCATTTGCATGGAAGGAGGACACCAAGGCATGGAACAACTGTTATTGTGCAGCCCTCATTTATGTTCAACTCTTGAACAAAATGGTCTTCCATGTGTCTTTTGGCTTGTCTCTGTTTACCACAGCCCCATTGGATTTAACCTGCTTTCCTCCCCAATGCGGAGCTTTTCAACATGACATTAGGGTGAGCAAAGAAAGCCAGAAGGACTATTACCTGTAGAGGTTTGGGTCCCGTGATGCGTTGTGGAGGTGGCAGAGGTGGAGGAGGTGGTGGTTGGGGGATCACTGGCGTGATTCGGGGAGCTCCTGCTGGAAATGGGTCCTGCTGGAGCCCAGAGATGCCCACGGATGAAGGTGAAGAGCCCAGGAGGGTGAGTGCGACATAGGCGCCAGCTAGAGGGAAACAGAGAGATATTTGCTCCAGGAGTGCTGTTCTGGAGAGACAGTCCAGCTACACAGGAGAGGGCTGTTTTCCCTTGTCCTGTCATTAAACTCATAATTCTGTAGATTAAGTTCTCCTCACTTTTAATGCCCCACCCATTCTCTAATCCCTGCCTTCATGCCTTGCATTGACCCAAGTATTGCTTCCTGCCCTTCCTTCATGCAGAGACCTCAACTAGAATTCCACTCATAAATATCTGGGAACACGCCCCACAGGCCGCCTCAGCAGCCCCGTTTCCCTCTCTAGCTCACTAAAGTAAGTAGCCGGTGTCATGCTCCGAGCATACTGCCCACATGGCACAGACCAGGCACTCAGATTCTAGCCCTCTGCTCTCCCCAAACTCCCCACATTCTTCAATTCTCTCTTCAACATTTGTTGTTTCTATTTGAATATTTGTGCAGACTCAATTGTTGGGCCTTCCTGGCTATAAACAGATTATTGTTGCTTTTCCCTGCCAAATAGAAAACAAATGAGTAAGAATGCCCATCAGTGGCAGAGGCAATTGAAAGGTATTTGAGGGAGACCTGGTCTCAGTAGGAGTATGGTCTAAATGGGAGTGGCAAAGATGAATGTGGGTAAAAATGAAGATGTCTCATGAGAGCCTAGTACTGTCTCCACCTGAAATAACAGGGAATTGTGGCCATTTAAGTGGATCACTCCATGTTAAGATTAAAGATGTGACTTCAGCTGCCTCACACATCTACAAAGGAAACCTCCTGGGATGGCAGGCCTGCCCTTTCCTCCCTGTTTCCTCCCTCTTGGACCATCTGCTCCCCTACTTTAGTTGTCACCTCTCTCCAACTCACATTTGATCAGCTTTACCACTTCCAGGTGTGAGCTATTGGTCACCATGGTGCCGTTGACCTGTTGGAGGGACAAACAGTATTGATTAATGGTGATGAACAGCTAGGGGATCCTTCTGTAAGTTCAAAATGCCACGTTTTTAGGAAGCCATTTTCCAATGCTCTTTAGCCACCTCTGGTCACTTGTTTACTCAAATCACACTATGAATTTGGTCTCCAGCTAGCCTATGAGTTTTCAAGAATAAAACCTCTTCATTCCTTAATTTGTTCATTCATTCACTTATTTTTGGTATACACTTTTCTAACCACTTGCCTCACACACATGTGAATGTCCACTCACCCAATGTGCTTCCTCCTTACAGAGGACTAAGAAGTCTCTGCATCTAGGATTTCCTTAATGCGTCCCACTATGTTGCCCAGGCTGGTCTTGAACACCATTCTGTCGAAGAAAGGTCTGAATGACCAGGGCAGGTTATAGTAGTTCAGAATGAGCAAGGACCCCAGGTTGGCATTATATGGAGGAGAGAATATCAACCTGAGAATCGAAGTCTTGGATCCTTCACTAGTTACTAACCCTCCCTCTTAATCTTATTTTGGTAATTTGTGAAATGAGAATAATAAAACTTGTTGTAGAAGTTTGGTTGCTTTACAGTCAAGAAGGGCCCAAAATACGGAACACAGCTATCCTCCTCCTTACTCTCTCTTATGCTATACCACTATGCTCCCTCGCATGGTACCACTCCTCACTCAGTGGCTGCCTGGCAGTTGGTATCAAGATGAAAGTGTGCAGGATGCGCCAAGGCCAGGAGTGCCCTGCACATCTACTTCCACTGCTGGGAGTGGGAGTGCGTGTTGGGGTCACTCACTTTGATGATCCGGTCGCCCTCTTTCACACCGGCCTTCATGGCTGCACCTCCTGTAAGGAGAAGGCCTGGTCAGCACAGCCCAACAACCTCTTCCACTGAAGCTACACCAAGGTCCCTGTCAGATCACCTCTCTTCTGAAATTTCCTCTTATTTCTCTGTGTTAAGTATCTCAAATTCTGGGTGTACTTCCTATTCTACTCCAGTGACACAAATACTCTAAAGCTAGAGTGGCCCCATCTCCTATATACTATATAAGGTCCCATCTCCTGCTCTTCCTCTCACCAAGATGCCAGACTTCTAATAGCCAGGCCAAGGCAGGAGCGAGGCAGGGCCAGGCTCTGGAAAGAGCACGTGTGCTTCACTCGAATGTATCTGGATATGTTCCAAGGTCAAATCAGAGTTACTTTTTATTATCCGGGGGGGGGAAATGAGTTTACTGTATGAAACATAATTGTTAAAATAATAATTAAGAGAAATACAGAGAAAAGGATTAAAACAAGAGTTTCCTAAGTCCTGAGAGGTTCATAAAGATATTCTGGGTGTTCACATCATTAAAGATAACTGTTTTATTTCTTAAAAAAAAAACTGTTTTAAGCCATTTACAGTTTCTCTGCTCCTTTATTTTGTAGACAGAGTCTTGCCCTGTAGCCCAAGCTGGGGTGCAGAGGCATGATCTCAGCTCACTACAGACTGGATCTTCTGGGCTCAAGTGATCCTCCCAACTCAACCTTCCAAGTAGCTATGGGACTACAGGTGTGTGCCACCAGGCCTGACTAATTTAAAAAAATTTTTTTTATTTTTTTTTGGTAGAGATGAGGTCTCACTATGTTGCCCAGGCTGGTCTTGAACTCCTGGGCTCAAGTGATCCTCCTGCCTTGGGCTTTCCAAAATGCTGGGATTATAGGCGTGAGCCTCCATACTCAGCCCAGTTTTTCCCTTTAAAATGGACCAAATTAAGAGCTTCTGATGGTGACTGACTGTGAGGTGCTCAAAAGAATATGCTCTTGACTTTTTCAACTTGTTATTCAACTGGAGGCTACAGTGGTTTTGACCACAATATGCTTTGTTTGTTTGTTTTGAGACAGTGTGTCACTCTGTCACCCAGGCTGGAGTGCAGCGGTGTGATTTTGGCTCACTGCAGCCTTGACCTCTCAGGCTAAGTGATCCTCCCACCTTGGCCTCCGAAGTAGCTGGGACTACAGGCATGTGCCAACACACCCGGCTAATTTTTGTATTTTTTGTAGAGACAAGGTTTCACCATATTGCCCAGGCTGGTCTTGAACTCGAGCTCAGGCAATCCTCCTGGCTTGGCCTCCCAAAGTGCTGGGATTACAGGCATGTGTCACCACGCCCAGCCTCATAAGATAGTTTTAAATGACTTATATTCCTAGTTTAATTTACATCCAGGAAGCACAAAAAACACTAAAGCCAAAACAAGTTAATGAGAAGCATAAAAATTACATATTGTACATTTGCCCCAATGTGATCATTAAATCTGTAAGTCGCATTCCTCTGATCAAAACAAAACTCCCACAAAGCCCATCTAAATGTTTCTACTTTAAAAAGAAAAATACAGTGATGACTACATTCCAATTTGACTTTTCAATACTGGGACTCAAGACTACCCTCATCTAAAGTGTGCTATTTATGGAAGAGTACTTGCAAATAGCTTAAAATTCCCTCTTATACATTCATTTAGAAACTAACATTAAAGAGAACAGAGCTATCTTGCCTGAATGTATGAAACATGTGAGGTGACTTCTAGTAACTTAGTGTTTAAAAAAAAAAAACTAAACTCTTCAGAGTAAAGGAACTTGAGAAGTTCTCAGACTTCAGCAAGCATGAGAATCACTGTGGGAATTTTTTGCCAGAAAGCAATTCAGTGTTTCCGAGGTCAGCCCCAAGAAAAAGGATTTCAATCATCTTGGGCTTAGGTGATTCTAATACAGGCAGAACACAGATTATACTTCGAGAAACAGTGAATTTAAAAAACCTAGTATGTATCTGGAAAAGATAACCGCTGCTTTATTACTCTTGTGACTTCAATGCCAATCCAAATGAAGTCAATTCTACTCTCCTCCACAACACACACACACACACGCACGTATGCATGCACACACAACTCACACACACACAGACTCTAGAACTCATATTCTCCTTGTAAGTCATCTTTTCCTTCTTTCCTCTCTGGGTCTGACTCTGCTCAGCCTAAGAAAAGGAAGAAGGTAAAGGAGAGCTGAACCTAGACTTCATTGGAGGGGATCCCATATTTTCTGTACCAGATAGACCAGCAGAGGAAAAGTACAAGTTACTGGCAGTTCCACTAACTCTATTTCACCCTAGTCCAGGAACCCTGAGAAATAAGAGAAGCAAAGAATAAAACTATCTTTTTAGAGCTTCAGCCCAGGATATGCAAAACAAACCTCCCACTGATGTAAGTTTACTCCCAAACATAAGAAGCCATACTTATTTATATCCTTATATGATCCACATACCTCATTGTGGTCATAAATTTGAAATTCTCTTTTCATCTTTCCTGTGAACATATCCCATATCTTCCTCCAAAATCAATGCAAGTCTATTTTCCCTCCTGCTCTGCACTATCAGGAAACCTGCTCCCAATCCTTTCCTCGTGCTCTTGTCTAAGCCAAGCCTAGGATGTTCCATGTCACCAGCCCAATGCTACTTACTGCACTGAAGTTTACTCCTTTTAGGGACACTTCTTTACCCTTTAAGGACTCTTCCCCTCCCATTGCCTTTTTTTTTTTTTTTTGAGACAGAGTCTCGCTCAGTCACCCAGGCTAGAGTGCAGTGGCGCGATCTTGGCTCACTGCAAGCTCTGCCTCCCAGGTTCACGCCATTCTCCTGCCTCAGCCTCCTGAGTAGCTGGGACTACAGGTGCCTGCCACCACGCCTGGTGAATTTTTTTGTATTTTTAGTAGACACGGGGTTTCACCGTGTTAGCCAGGATGGTCTCGATCTCCTGACCTCGCGATCCACCCGTCTCGGCCTCCCATATTGCTGGGATTACAGGCGTGAGCCACCGCGCCCGGCCACCCATTGCCTTTCTGATTGTCTTCCTCAGCCTGGACCACCAACAACGGTTCCACTACCTGGCATACGCTAGAGTTTTGACTGTTCACGCCCCTTCTATACACAACTGGTAACTGGATGGATGTGGCTATGATACCCACCCACTCTTCATTTCCTTCCCACCAAATTCCTATCCTGCTGATCTGCTTTTCATTTCCATCTTTCAAACTACTTCTAAAAATCCTGTTTCTTTTAAGAGGGCTTCCCAAATGATCACAAGGAAAATGGCTATGCCTCAAATCACAAACTACTCAAACTTCCAAACACCATTTCCCCTGACATCACATCCAACATATATCATTCATCTGTTTGTAATTTATTATTTAATGTTAATTGTATCAGCAAATGTGCTCTGTAATCATCTGGACCATTGTCAGGTTATAAAACTGTAGAAAGTGACCATCTGTGCACTTAGCCAGGTAATGTGGAGGTAAATATGAAGAAAGGGGGTCTTTGATTCTTCCACAGAATCTTGTGACATCTTCGATGGCAATCAGACATCTGCCTGATGATGACCTGACAGCTATTTTGCTGGTTTTTCACTTCCCAGCCAGGGAAGCAAGCACGAGGTGCAATCTCTAGAAATTCTGCCTGGGGGCTTAGCATTGAAGAGGCTTCCCCAGGCACCCATGGAGAACCAGTTCTAGAGTAATTCATTCACGCCCCACAGGAAAGCACAAGTAGAGTGGCACTGTCACATATATGGTGGCTTTGCAAGAACTGTCCACCGTGGGCAGGAGGGATGCAGCACTCACCAGGCCGCACAGACTGCACCAGAACAATGCGATCCCCACTGACTGTGAAGCCGAAGCCATGCTGGTCCTTTTGGATAATGACACAGCGTTGAACGAGACCTGGGAGGCGGAGAGGAAGGTTGAGTATGCAGTGTCATTGGAAGGTTAGTGTACACATGCCAAGACCAACCCAGGGAAGCCTCAGTGCCTTTCTCCTTCAAGAAGCCTTTTCACATTAACCAAATTCCCTAGACTATTCCTGTCTAAACACTACTGCAATGACACGCTTCCCTCGGTGGTTGGCAAAACCTGTAACTTACTTTGTATTCCAAATAAGAAACTACCCTTCTCTGAGGTGCTAAAATGCTTGTCTCTCACATACATGTCTGTCCCTTTTGGTATGTCTGGGTGAGACTGGTCAAAGAAGGGGCAGGACCAGGTCTAGCCATCCTCCTGAAGACTAATATCGATAAGGAGCCTCCCAGGGTTGAAGCCCAAGTGAGCCTAGAAGTTACATGTTAAGTGACATCCAATGAATGCAGCAAGTGGTATACCAATGCTTGTTGATTCTTTTTATAGAGCTGGGTAACTTATGCAGGGTGTCTTAGGAGTGGTCTCTTGCCAAATCCAGGGAAGGATACATGACAAGAAGAAAACCCTTTTATTTCGGAAATATTTTATTTCCGAAATAAAAGGGTTTTCTTCTTGTCATGTATCCTTTAAAAAAATATACAGAATTAAAAAACAAAAAGAAACAGAGGTTATGACTACCAAATGTCTCCATCCCTGTGAGTGTATACTAGACATTGTACATGTGTATGAGTATGTGTGGTTGCATCCTGCAATGATTAAAGCATGGGTTCCAGAGTTAAAACAGAACTGGTTTCAAGTCCTGATTCTGTCCCCAATAAGCTTGCAAACTTGGACATATTTCTTAACCTCTCTGTGCCTCAGCTCCCTCATTTGCAAAATAAAGATAATAAAACCTAGTTTCTACGTTGATGTATGGAGGCAAGTTATATAAAACCCATTAACACAATGCCTAGTATACATCATGTGCTCAACATAAACACTAAGTTGCTTTACATTTAGAGTATACAGATCTGTCTGTATGAGTGTGCATCTCTGTATCCATGTGTTTTTTTTTTTGAGACAGAGTCTTGCTCTGTCACCCAGGCTGGAGTGCAGTGGCACGATCTCGACTCACTGCAACCTCTGCCTCCTGGGTTCAAGCAATTCTCCTGCCTCAGCCTCCTGAGTAGCTGGGACTACAAGCATGCACCACCACACCTGGCTAATTTTTGTGTTTTTAGTAGAGATGGAGTTTCACCATGTTGGCCAGGCTGGTCTCAAACTCCTGACCTGAAGTGATCTGCTCGCCTTGGCCTCCCAAAGTGCTGGGATTACAGGCATGAGCCACCACACCAGACCATGTGCTTTTTTTAAAAAAAGAGATGGAGTATCACTATGTTGCCCGGGCTGGAGTACAGTGGTTATTCATAGGTGTGATTCCACCACTGGTAAGCATGGGTATTCTGACCTGCTCCATTTCTGACCTGGGTCAGTTCACCTCTCCTTGGGCAACCCAGTAGTTCCCTGCTCCTGGGAGGTCACCGTATTGATGCTGAACTTAGTACAGACACCTGACCGGCATAGCACACTACAGCCAGAGCTCTTGGGCTCAAGCGATCCTCCCACTGGTCTCCCGAGTAGCTGGGAATACAGGCAGGTGCCACCATGCCTGGCTGTGTTTGTGTGTTAATTCCTAAGGAGGGTACCTGTTGTCTCAGAGGCATCCGAAGGCTGGCGATGGTGAGAAGGGGACTTGCGCTCAGGTGCAGAATCTCCCAGAGAAGACAGGCTACTTAACCTGGAGAAGGAGTAAGGAAAGCATGTCAATGAGCTAGGCAGGGAGGGATCAGCCTTGTAGTATATGGAGGCTCTGTCGAAAGGGGCCCTGAGTCTTGGATAATGAGAGACCAACCTACCCACCCTGTAACCCAATCTGGTAGGACATTAGTCATGTGTACACCACTGGTAACACAACCTATCTAGAATCCTGGGCTGGCAGGGCAAGCATGATCTCTTTAATACCCAGCAAGATGTGAAGGGAAATAACCCTTCCTGGAGTCAGGCGACAAAGAGACAATAGCAAGCAGGGGATGTGCACACATATACACGCTTGTTGGGTCTTACCAGGCTGCAATGGGGCTGATGGAACAGAACGGAGCAGCAGAGAAAATGAATGCAAGAAAAAGACAGGAAAAAACCAAACAGCCAGTTAGTTTTAGGCGATGATTTGCAAAGGAAGGGGAGACTGGAGGGAAGGACGAGGTGGGTCAAACACACACAGAGGTCTGCATGAGCACAGCATGGGGCTGTAGTGGCGGCAGCAGAGACAAGCTCCCCATTTAGCTTCATCTCTTTGTCCCTCAAAGTTCCACCTCTCCATAGTGATCTCCAGGAGGGTAAATGGGCAAGAGTACAAGCCCGCTGGGTAACTGGTAACTTGTACACTTTCTAGAAAACAGAGTAGAGGAATGGCCCAAGCCTCTGAAAATTCCATTTATCCTTTGGGTACCATGGGAGAACCGGAATCTGGTCTGTTTGGTGGTAGTATTCCAATCCCATATTCAGCTCCGTTCCCTCAGCCAGCCTGAGGCACCTTGCCTAACTGGAAACTATTAAAGACCCTAAACCTCCAAGTGGTACTGATCACCAAATCAAAGGATTCACTGCTGGATCTCCTCTTCAACTAGGACCCTCACAGGAATAGAAGAAATTTCAATCATTGCTCTGGCACTCCTTTTTGGAAAAGTGTACAAGTTGCCAGTTCCTGAATCAACAGTTGCTGCCCCTCAGAAAGGGGCAATTCCTATCCTACCTATAGCAAATGACTAAGTAGAAGGCTACTCATGGAAGCACTGTGTGTGATGGCAAAGCACTGGAAATAATCTAAATGTTCACAATGAGTGACTGGTTAAATAAATTACAGCAATATAATGACACAGAATTCAGTCATAAAAAAGAATGAAGAGGCTCTTTATACAGGATAGAGAATGATCTCCATGATATGTTACTGAGTGAAATAAACAAAATACAGAATTATTTGGACAGTTTAAAAAAGTGAGTAAAAGAGAGAATAAAATTATGTGCTTATATATGTTTAAATATTTATTTACATATGCAAAAATATCTAAAATATCTCTGGAAGAATACAAAAGAAACATAACATGGTTGTCTCTGAGGAGGGAAACTGGGTGGCTGGGGCACAGGAATGGAACTGCAGGGTTTTATTATATTCTTTGGTACTTCTAAAGTTTGAAATCATGTGAGGGTACAAGTAACTTATAAATATAAAGGAGGGGGTCTTTGTCCCCCCTCACAGTGGCACCCCTCTTACCTGGACAGGTGAGACTGCTTTTTACTGGCTGATCTTTGGATCAGAGAGAGAAGGACATCAAGGAAGAAGAGAGTGTGGGCCCAGGAGAGAGCGATGCAGGACAGGAGGAAGAAAGAGAAAGAAAAACAAAATACGACATAAACCAGACAAGACACTAGAGATGGTTGGTGCAAAGAAAAACCACAACAGAGCCAAGAGTGACCCACAGGAGGCACCTGGTCACAAGGTGAGCTTACTAACAGCCATGAGCTTACTAACATCCCCTGTCATTTTGCCGCTTAAAACCTTTTAGAACCTCCCCACCGTACTCAGGAGAACAGTCATCTGTCCTCAGCTAGGCCATTCACCACAGCATCTAACAGGAAGTATAATGCCTGATGCCTAGGGAAGTGCCCTTTGATGTTTTCCACAGCTCCCAGTATCTATCCTTTCTGCAGCTCAAATACCCAACTGAAAAAGCTGTTGTTCACTTGTCTGTAAAGCCATACATGCAAGGTTGCAAGGTCCATGAAAGCAGAGAGGGTCTTGCTGCTGTGGTCCTCAGTGCCCGATGTAGTAGGGGCTCAGTCCTATTCTTGGTCCCTGCTCTTTACTGTCCTCCTTTCACTTGCTATGGTTCCTGGCTTCTGTCTCTGCCTACACTGTTCCTTCCTCCTACATGTTCTGCCTACTTTATTCTCTATGACTGCACAGGGTTATCCACGCTGGGCTTGAACTCCTCCTCCTTCCTACCTAAAAAGAAAGCCCATCTTATCTTGGGACACCTCGGGCCTTCTTGCCTTGTTCTTGACGCCACCAGGAAGCTGGCTTCCTATGCCCATATTAAAGCCTAGAAGGTGCATTTGAACCTAAGAACCTGATATGGTTTGCATTTGAGCTGAGGCGTAAGCAGTTCCACATAATCAAAGGCAAATGAACCAAAAGGTCCATGTCCCTGCTGTCAACACCTGTTAGGGGCATGGACAAAGACCATTTCAGCAGTCATCAAAAGTTTCTCTAAAATAAAACCACAGGCTAGGGCAGGTATGTGGAGGACAAGGAGATGGCAACATAAGTATACTTGCAACAGATGCATAAATTTTTTTTTTTTTTCCCTGAGAGCTTAAAAGAGAGAAAACTACCATTGAACTGAAGGAGGAAGAGATGCCTATGGAAGGCAGGCCTGGTGGACAGAATCAATGGATAGACTATTGTGTCAGCTGGGTTGTGCGTCCGAGTACATATTTGGGAGGAAGACCTTGGAAGGTTAAAAATCTGAGAAACAAGGAAAGGAGAGAGGAAGGTAGTTTGGCCTGAAATGGAGGCTGTCATAGATAGAAAAGACTTTAATGGTGGCCCCTCCCTTTTCCTGATGACATTCTCATCAAAATTTGACAGCAGAGCTCAGATTCTGCTCAGCCTAAACCTGGGGGTATGGAGGCGACCCTGAAGAGTGGAGAATTTCCCCCCAAATTTGTACTCTAAATGGCACCAGTGAGACAGATTTCCTGACCCAACTTCTCAGTTATCCCCTACTGCCAGTCAAAGAAACCCGTAGGTTCCTTATAATCTTTTCCCAGAGTCGCTCCTTTCTTTACATAATCATTGACAATCATCCCTTTAAGCTACATGTCTAGTGCCTCATGCCTGGATTACTGAAAAAAAAAAACTCTTTTCCACTCTCCAGTCCATCCAGCACTCCACCACCACAGACTAACTTACCCAAATACTACTCCCTCAGGCCCTCTCATCAAGAACTTATTATCTACACAATCAGATATGCCTCCAATAACCTGGTATTAAAGGACTTTCATCCTGTGGACCCAAATGTCTTTTCAAATTCATCTCTGATGACTTGCCTACTACCTACCTCTACTGGATCCTAAGCGATGCTGTACTCATTCCCATCTCTGACTTGATGGTTGCCATCCCTTGTCATCTCTGTCCATCTCCTACTACTTTTTCAAGGTCATGATCAAATGGCATTGACTCCATGAAGCAATCCCTGACCACTGCAGCACACACTTCATTTACCCCAACATTTTATTTTGAAAAATGTCAAACTACATTAACATTGAAGAAGCAGCATGGTGAATATCTATACGCCCTTCATCTAGATTCAGCAACTAACATTTGTCACATTTGCTTTATCTTTCTATGTTTATACATTTTTTTCTCACTTGAAAATTGCAGACATCATGACACTTCACCCATATTTTAGCCTATACCCCCTAAGAGCACTGAAATTCTTCTATATAACCACAATGCCATCAGCACACCCAATGAGTCTGATACAGTATTATCTAATATACAGTACACATTCAAATTTTCCCAATTGTCTTATTAAGTTCTTTGTAGCTATTCCCCAATTGCCTCAATTCAGGAGCCAATCAAAGATATCGAATTATACTTATGTCATGTCTCTTTCAGATTAATTTAATCTAGAACCCTCCCCACTTTTCTTGGTCTTGTCTCTCATAACACTGACATTTTGCAGAGTCTAGGTGAGTTATCTTGTTGAATGGCTTACAATCTGGATTCATCTGATGCCTCCTCATGGTTAGATTCATGTTAAACAGTTTTAAGAGACTATTACATAAGTGATGTTGGACAGCTTGTCCCATTTTTGTGATGGTAGGTTTGATTACTTAGGTAAAGTGGTACTCCTGAGATTTTTTCAATGGTAAGAATCTATTTTCTCATTTGAATTAATGAGAAATCTGTGGGATGATATTTTGAGACTGCATAGATACTCTGTTTTCCAACATCTCTCATCCAATAGTTTTACTCTCCATAGACGATTCTTGCCTAAAGCGCTTATTGCACTGGTGCCTGCAAAACGGCAATTTGCTAATTCTATCATTCCTTCTACATATATTAGCCAGTAAGCTTTTACAAAAAACGTCATCTCATCTCTTTTCTGGAGTAGTGCTATGAACTCACAGATCTTGTTTCCCCCCCAAAGTAATACATTATACTCTATTACCCTTAAAAAAAAAAAAGTTTAAAATGTTCCAATTTGACCAGTGGGAGCTTCTGAAAGCCAGCTCCTGTGTCCTTTTAACATGTCACCATCTGTCTTTGATCATGTCCTTGCTTTCTGGCACAAAAAGGTACTCCATGCTCACCTTGTACTTTCCCTATGCCAGACCGGGAATCAAACATTTCTCCAAGGAGCCCTGTTCCTTTTAGCAGGAAATGCATTTAGAAACAAGATCTGGCTGCTAGGTACTCATTGCTGCTGAGCTGTCCCTCGTTCCAGGCCCTTTTAATGGACAAGAGCTAGAAAAATTTATTATAAATTTTTGAGTTCACACTGGTATCTCCAATTTGAACTCAACACAACAGGGTTCTTCACCTTCCCCATTCCATATTGTATCTTCCTTTTCTCATATTGAGAACCCCGTTCCTAAACAATACCAATATATTTACTCACTGCTGTATTCAATATGCAGAAAAGATAGTTCCTGGAGTTACTACATCAATATCACTAGTAACAACAAACCTATGAAGTTCAAGGTTTTCTTGCAGTTCTTTTTGTCCTCACACTATATCCCAGTACCATCAGTAATGTGTGTGAAAATTTCTGGGTTAATCTGTTGGGTTTTTTGTTTGTTTTATTTAGTTTTTTTAGACAGGGTTTCACTCCATCAACCAGACTGGGGTGCAGTGGCACGATTACAGCTCACTGCAACCTCTGTCTTCTGGGTTTAAGTGATCCTCCTGCCTTAGCTTCCCAAATAGCTGGGATTACAGGCAAACATCACCATGCCTGGCTAATTTTCGTATTTTTTGGAGAGATGGGGTTTCGCCATGATGCCCAGGCTGGTCTTGAACTCCTGGGCTCAAGTGATTCACCTGCCTCGACCTCCCAAAGCACTGGGATCACAGGCGTGAGTCACTGTGCTCAGTCTTAATCTATTTTTATGTTATCAATTTGAGATATATTTAGGTTTCTTTTTATATTTGTACTGAATTTTAGGGTTTGCTTTCTTTCAAGCTTATTTATTTCATTTTTTGAATATATTAAACATTTACACGGTTGAAAATCAAAATGAAATTTTAAAAGTATATTCAGAAGTATACCTATTCTTTCTCCCCATTCCCCAAGTAACCATTTTCATTTGTTTTTGGTTTCCTTGCTGTGTTTCTTCTTGTAAAACTAAATAAATACCGATACATATTCTTATTTTCCTTTCTTCCTTACACAACAGGTAGTATCATCCCCTTTTGCGCTTTGCTTTTTTCACATACAATATCTGTAGAGTAACCCGCAGAACTCTTCCTCTTCTTTACAATGCGGCCCGCATTGGCGCACACGTTCTCCCCTCCTCCAAGGCTCCCTGTGTCAGTCCTGCCTATCTGCTGGAGGGCAGAGGTTGCAGTGTGGACTTCCCGGTACGCCTGAGTGCAGCACAAGACACAAGCAGGTGCTTTCTAACTATGCAGCCACATGCTCCTCTCCCCAGCCTATAGGGCGGGCAACAAAGCAAGGAGATGCTTGGTGACCTTCCAGAGAGCCCACATATCCTTTTTGTTGGCCTGCGGTGTGTCTGTGTGTGAATGTGTATATGTGTATATATATATATTTTTTAAAAGTTAGTTGCTAAGCAATAAAATACACATTTCTGACTTCTCTTGAAAGGTCAGTCAGAAGTTCTGGCATCCTCAAGCTTACGGTCTCACATAGTGACAATCAGCTGAAAATGGGTGGTGGCAGCCCTCTCCAGGTGAGCATACCTTACCTTTCCCAGTCACCACTGCCCTTAGCTTACACTGCCCACTGCTTCACTCAGACCCCTACAAAGTATATGAGTTCGAACTTAAGGTGGCCAAACAGGACTGGTTTCTGGAGTTTAAAGAAACAAAGATAAGCAAACAACATTATGTCCTTTCCATCTGTCAATGGGAGGTTCCTGGTCTCCTCACTCCTACCCCATCACAAATGTGTAAATGAGGACAAGGCCTAGAACATCCACATTCTGTGGTAATAATGAAAAAGTTCTTACTACCTACCAGGTGCTGTGCTAAGCACTTGATATAACCTTATCTAATTCAATCCTCACAAAAGTCTGCTGAAACAGGGAGTACATCCCCATTTTCCAATACGTGAACAGAGAGGCTAAATAAATGAAGTTAAGATGTGCATAAAGTTGGTGTGACTTCAACATCTGTGCTCCTAAACAAAAAATTATATGACCTGTATATGCCACATGTAGATTTGCTTGGTCTTTATTTTCTCTTTTACACACATATATACATACAATACATACACATTCAAGACATATACACATATATACATCACATGTGCCCACATACATATAATATATATGACATGATTAAAGATATATATAATACACATATGCTATATATGTATATAAATACATAATACACATACATAAGATAGATGGATAGAGAAAGATAAAAAAGCACACTATACACAGGCTGAGCTAGGTCTTCCTGAGTCTGGGGCAAAGTAATATTCCTGGGCCCTTCCCTAAAGACAAGAGCAGTAAACCAGGAAACAGCCACCCTACCAGGACCTTAGCTCCAGATAAAGTCCATACTTACAGAACTCTGACCTGGTCTTACTGGTTGGTTTCCCTTATCTCCCAGGGTGGAGTTTTCAGCAGGCTCCTGGCACCCTAACTTTCTATGGATTCTGCCTCCGGGTAGAATTTTCCCTCTGGTCTGAGGCTGGCAAACACACCCTCCTAGGCTTGCATATCCCTACAGTAAGGGCTATGAGGAAAGACACCTGTTTGCATACAACCTCTGGTGATCTGTAAGTATCAGTCCCTCATCTCTTAAACTAGAGGATAGACAAATGGTCTCTGGCAGTGCACCAGAAAAGGTTCACACCTCAGTTGGATCACTTCCTAGCTATCCAGCAGCCTGTGAATCACTTGAGGCCCCACCCTCAGGGATCCAATTCAGCAGGTCTGTGGTGTGGAATCTACTTCACCAAGCAGCCCAAGCCATTCCTTATTCAGAGGACTGTAACTTGGAGAAACTCTTGAAACAAGTCCCTTAATATCTGAGTCTATCATCAGTCTATCATCTTTCTTATCTGCAAAATGACACATATTGATATCATCTGTTAGTCTGTCTTCTCTTTTAGACTTTAAGTCCCTGAGAACAGGGACCTTGTATCACCAGCTGAGTTCCAGCACAGCCTGCTGCATAGTGAGAGTCGCTCCAAACATGTTGGCTGAAGGACCATACACATCCTTTCTTTCTTCCAGGGCTGATGTGAGGGCAAAAAGATAACATTTGTTAAGTACTTTGAAAGTGTAAAGCCCTCTACAAATGGTTTTATTGTGTTTTTTTGCTGTTTTTTTTCTTTTCCCCTAGGTGTACAGTAGGTGACCTATGCTTGAAAAATGTCAGGCGTGAGGGGAACAGAACTAGAATGAGTGAGTGAAAAATACCCCCCAGGGTGTTCAGATTCTAGGTAGGGCAGGGCCAGTAAACCTCACCTTTCTACTTTCATGAAGGTCTTAGACAAGAAGAGATTTTGGGATTTGTTTGACTATCAGAGCAGACAACTTGGCAGGCAGGTGTGTGTGAAGGGAGGCAGAGAACTGGTGTGTTGAGAAGGTTGCTTAGCTTGATTCAACACTGAATACTCAGCACACAGGCCATGTGGTATGGTTTTAAAAGCACAACTTTAGGAGTCAAAATACTGGCACAAGCTCAGGCTCAGCCCTTTCTTGGCTATGTAGTCTTAGGCAAGTCATCCAACCTCTTCAAACCTTAGTTTCCCAATAACAAATGTGGGTAATACTACCTTTCTCAAAGGGTAATTGGGAGGACCAAATCACCTTCACTGACACCTCAAAGCTACAACAGTCAAACTACAATCAATCTCCCCTACCCTGCTCCTGATCAAATGTTTCCTCCTCAGTAAAACACTGCCGTGCAATTGCTCACACCAGAAATCTGAGGTTATCTTTGACACCTCTCTGCAAATCCAATCAATCGACAAGTCCCACTGATATGACCTCCTAACATTCCTGAAATCCATCTACTTCTCCCCCTCTCTGCCACCACGATCATTTAAGACACCATCATCTTTCACCTAGAAGAACTGGCCTCCCCATGTCTACTCTAGCCCCCACCCATTCTTACCCACAGAGTGATCTTTTCAAGAGAGAAATTAGAGGATATACACTCTTCGGTGGTTTCCCATTGTCCTTGTATGAAGTTCCAAATCCTGCACATGGCTAACAGGTCCTTGGTGAGGTCTCATGCCTATTCTCAAGCCGTATCTGGTCACTCTACCTCTCAATCACTGTATTTCAACCTCAGGGGCCTTCTCTCCCACCTTGGCCTGGGGAACCCACACTCATTCCTCAGGGTTCAGCTTAAGTGTCTCTTTCTCAGACACTTCCTGTGTTGGATCTCCCTGAAATTTACCTTTGTAACGTGCCTAACTCAATAGTAACTACACTATTTTTTGGGTGCCTATTTTTCTTTCTTTCTTTCTTTTTTTTTTTTTTTTGAGACAGGATCTCACTCTGTTGCCCAGGCTGGAGTGCAGTGGTGCAATCACGGCTCACTGCAGCCTCGACTTCCTGGGTTCAAGCTCAAGCAATCCTCCCACCTAAGCTCCCTGAGTAGTTGCCCGGCTTTTTTTTTTTTTTTTTTAATAGAGATGAGCTCTCACTATCTTGCTCAGGCTGGTCTCAAACTCCTGGGCACAAGTGATCCTCCGCCTCAGCCTCCCAACGTGCTGGGATTACAGGCATGTGCCACTGTGCCCAGCCTGTTTGGGTGCTTTTTTTAAATGTCTGCTTTTTTCCCATTTAATGATAAACTTCATGTATCTTGTTCTCTAGAGCACAGAGCAGCTCCAGAACACAGTACATAGTAGATATTCATTAAATATGTGTTGGAAGATGAAATCAGATATAGATAACAGATCTTTAGACATCAAAATATCATAAGCCTATACTTATCACAGCAGTTGAGAGAAACATTTTTGAGTGACCTCCACAATGCATATAAATTAGGATTAAATTCATAATTTCATAGTTTTAACAAAGACTAATAAAGTAGAAGGGTGTTAGCGTTTCCATGGACTTAGGCGGGGAGTACGACTGGCAACCCTGTAAGAACTGTTTAAGCTCCTGAATTCTTCAATGCCCCAGATTGCTAGAATTGAATTCTGCACATAAAACAGTGAAGCATCAACTAGATAAGAAGCTGCATGTTAAAGTGTGTTGGTAGTTACAAAGTAGATTTGGGGAGGGGATGGCCAAAGAAGAAATCAGAGAGGAGGTGGACTTTAACCAGAGCCTTGGAGGAAGGGGAGGATTCTGACAGGTAGCTATGTTGTGGAAGGACATTCTAGGGGAGGAAGCAGAAGGCAGAGGGAGGACACACGGACTCTGGGGAGGCTGTCAATGCAATATGGGAGAAAAGGGGATGGATCTCACAACAGGGAGTGTAACAGGAGATAAAATTAAAAAGACATGGGTCTCGGTCCTGATTCTGCCACTTACTAGCTGGCTGAGCTTAGGAACCCCATTCTCTCTCTCTCTTTTTTTGAGACAAGGTCTTGCTCTGTCAGTCAGGCTGTAGTGCAGTGGTGTGATCATAGTTCACTGCTAGTCTTAAGTGATCCTTCCGCCTCAACCTCCCAAAGAGCTGGGATTACAGG